AAAGAATCGTTTTAATATGAACCATCTAATTACTCAGTATCAATATTGTCAATTTGGAATCAGTTGGTTTCCTCATTCTTGAGTCTATATTTTTTGTTTTTCTTCTATATTCATCTATCTTGCTTTACAAGATTCATTCACAAGACACAAATGGAAAAAGGGGTTATCCCTTTCTTTTGGCTTATTGCTATTTTGGGAGGGAAAAACCAAGCATCTTCTGTAGTGTGTGATGCAGGTTGCAGTGGCTCATGGCCATAGTATCAATCAACCTTTACCAATATATCATGTTCATACAAGGAAGCAAACAAAGTGTACCAATTATTATACTCAAATAGAAGTACCAAATCAAGGTAAAAAGAGAACAAATGCATCATATAAAAACAATCAAAATCTTGAAAATTTAAGCAGAAGTTTCTACTTCTGCTTCATCTCAATATTCCACCATATATTCAACCTTTTCGGACGTGGTGAATGTTTCACAATGTACTCAGTTTATTTTCATGAAAAACAAAACAGACCCATGTGACATTCTCTTCACACAAGGACCTTGATGTTGCACAAGCAAAAAAGGAAGGGGAAATATACATAAACAGTGGCAAAAACTTACATAAACAAGGTAAACAAGAAGAACTGAAACAGAAAAAAGGCAGAAACTCAGTTATACTGTCAAATCAAAATAATGGCAGAAAAGTCTTGTGATCTAGCGACATGAAAGGACCAAGAGCTCAAATGAGGGACTAAAAGAACCCTCATATTCGTATGCAGTCCTACCAGCACATGAAGGTCCTTATAAGAACAAACATAAGGGGTACCACTGTTATCATATTTTCCACTCCACTTTTTAGTACACATATGCAAAGCAATCAAAACCTATTTTATCATATACTCCTCAAACCTATCATAACAGTCAAAACCCATCGAATAAAATTACTTGCCCTCTTCATATGCATGTGTTTGGAAACGAATAAAGGATCATCGTGTTATATGATACGTTAAAATCATGTATAAGATGTGAAAAATTCACATCTAAGACGTAAAATTAAGATAAAATATTATCATTTAAAGGAGAAAGATATTTCTAGTGGGATATGATATATTTTTCCAAACGGAGAGAAAACATACAGATAAAAGAGAAAAATAGAAGAATATTCTAAAATAATTTTTTATCTAAAGTAGGTCAAGGATATCTACTTTTAGGTTATAATTCTGCATTTAAAAATTTAGAACATTAAATAATACAACGTTTTTTAAATCAGACAAATTATAAATCTACTTTTATTTTATTCAATGTAATAGAAAAGAAAAAATAAATAAAAATAAAAGACGTCGTCATTATCTTGTTTCATATTCGACAGAGAAAAAGAGAATAAGATATAGATTCATTTTCATAGGATCCACATATTTTGGATCCCCTCTTTTTAGGGAGGAGAGAGAAAGGGTAAAGAAAATTATCATGACTCTCGTTTTGTTTTTTGCATATTAATAATTATATATTTGTAAGTATATTAGATTTATGAAAATGGAGTAATTAATAAAGTAATTAAACTTTATTGACACGTGGTTACATTAGTTAAACTTAATAAAAGAAGGAAAACTTTGTTTAATAAATGGATAATAATGGATCCTCCACTTCTCTATTTTTTTTATTGTTTCTTTTATCATTTTTTTTAACTTCACGTTTATATTCTCTGAAATAATACTTTCTTGGAGTTTTGTCTTGTACAGAATAATTTAAAGAGAATTTTTTGCCCATGAAATGATGCGATTTCAATCGGAAAAATTACATTCATATTAGTTCACATTATAATAAATTAAATAAGGAAAAAATTATTATAGAACGAGATAACACACTAGTTTCGTACTTTGTGATTATGGTTTTCGTTATTTAATTTAATGCATTAATCACTTTTGTTGGCAAGAAAATGTCAACCACTTTCTACATGTTATATGAATCATTTTTTTAGGGTTTAGAACAGCCCAACTAATAAACACAAAAAGGTCCAAGAAACTAGCCCAATTTCTACAGTACAAAAAAGATGCAATGAACGTTTGATTGAGTTTTTTGTACTTGCTTTGTCCCAATTTTTTTATGTCCAAATCTACACGTGAAAGCTATAAGCTGCTACTTTCTTTTGGCGTTAAAAATCTCATAACACAATTTTAAATCAAACATGGTAGAACGTGATTTATTAGTTAAAAATATCTTTTTAAACCATGCTATCACCGTATTTTATCTGAAAAATGAGATATTATTGAGTATTTTATATTAGCCAAATCGTAGTAAACGGTCGAGCGTAAGTTGATTATTGAAGAATTGAGTAAATATTGAACGTATGATATATTTTTTATGTTGTTGTTATATTGAGAGCGTGATAAAATTTATAAAACATGTATGGAAGGAAGACCCAACAAAACTATTGAGTATGTGTCCATATGGTTTAAACATGAAGGGAAACCAAAAATTAAAGAAAGCTTTGATAAAAATTTGAGTACTAAAATCGAAGATATAAAAGTGGAAAAAAAAAACCTTGAGAAATCTAAAATAGATTTTTCTTCTTTGTTTTTATCAAAATAATGTACATATATTAATAAGAACAAAAAATGGATTAGAAAAATCGGTAAAACTATTTTGTATTGTAAATGAATAATTTTAGCATTCTCCTCAAATTGGGAATAAATATCAATTATTTCTAACTTGAAAAATTAGATAACTCGAATGTGGATATAAAGAAGATTTTTATTAAAATATCTATAAGTTACATACTAGAAAAGACGGGAGAAACTTCATTAGTCCATTGTTAACTTTTTCTCTAACAATATGATAATTTATTTCTACATGTTTTTTTTTTTATGTAGAACTTTGTTGGAGGCAATTTGAATTGCAGATCTATTGTAACAAAATGTAATTTTGAGGTCATTAAAAAGATAAGTGAGTCATTGTAATTCACAAACAGTTGAAGCGAGAGTATGATATTCAATGTAAGTAGAGCTTCTCCAGACAATTTGTTATTTCTCTAATTTCCATGATATAAGTTAATTATCAAAATATATTATATATCCCATGATAGATTTTTGAGTATTAGGACAACTAGTTTAACCTAAGTCACTATAAGTTTTGAGTTGAATATTACTATTTGTAGTAAGGGATATACCTTTTTCAAAGAAATTGTTTGAGGTATCGAAGGATTTTTGGAGCAACTTAATAATAAATGACAATAAGAGTACAAACATGTTGACTACAACGTGTATAACTTGAATAATGTCGCAATTTATATTAGTTAAATAAATAGGTGAAAAATTTTGTTGTGCACTTTGAGTATCTTTTCTTTTACTTTTTATTTTCTTGTTTTCATCTTAAGTATCATAAGAAAATTAACATACTCATCACCTCTTATAAGTACATATTCTTTGTCTCTTATAAATAGAAAATCTTCATCTTTTATAAATATTTTTTGTATATACATCCAAATGAAAATCTTACTATAAACTTTGCCTTTTCCGTTCTTGATATAGGTAATTATAATTTTGGGGGCATATTTATGCTCACAACATTAAGCGTAAAAAGTAAATTTGAATTTGTAAATAATTCAACGTTAGAATATGCAAAAGATGACTCATCTTACATAACATGACTTTGATGTCATATTAGAAAAATGAGTGATTATCAATCATTTCCACATAAAGTCTGTCTAGTATAACAATGTTGTGTTGAATATGTAAGAAATTGTTGAACATGTAGATTACCAAAGAATTAAATGAATATTAAGTATATGACATTAATCTTGTCTCGTCGATGTTGTATTAAACACAAGAAAAAATTTATTAAGTTCATGTGATATTGAACTTAAAGAGAAATTAGTAAAATTATCGAACATGTATTAATAAATATCTATAATTGGTCTATAAAAAATTGAGAATCAAAATTTAAAAACATAAAAATGAAAAAAAGAAATTAGAATAGATGTTTTTATTACATTTCAATAAAAGAATATACATATATGAAGGAAAAAAAATGAATAAAAAAATCAGTAAAATTATTTTATATCGTAACCAAATAATTTTATCATAGGAAGTCTTTTAAAGTAAAAGAAAAAAAAAAAAGTCAAAGAATGATGACGTGAAAGTTGTTATAGATAGCTTATAGACGAATGATACAAATCATGTTATTAATTCATATCCAAAAATACATTATATGTTGTAGCAATCTTTATCCAGTTTTTTAAACTGATGCAAAATCGCTTGAGTTGATGCACTGAGTATAGTGAATACGTGGAAGATATAGAGAAAAAATAGTACTTTGTTTTAAGGAAATTTTTTTAATTTCAGAAGGTGTTATCTAATTTTTATTTTCAAAAGTTTATAGAAAATATTAAAAAGGAAATTATAAGAAATCATGTTTTCTCAAATTAAACAACCTTCAAGAAAAGGAGAAAAATATGATCAATGGATGTCACGTGTGATGTTTCTATTTGTGTAAAGAGCAAATAGAGATTTGAAAAAAAGTTACGAGATTCTTGATCTAATTTTTCATATTTAATTGGAAGTTAATTGTTCTCTTCAATTTATTTTGCTTAAAACGATTATTATTCTTATAATATTTTAATTAATTTTATGGTGATTACAATTATTTTAACATTCACGTATTAAATTAAATATATATTTTTTATTTTACTTTGGCTTAATCTTATATTTATTTTTTTATTTAAAAGAAAAACGATTATAATTCATTAAAATTGTATTTTAGGAAAAAAAAAAAAACACGGGGGAAAAAATGAAGATCGAAGAGAGTAACAGACGCAGGTGCAGACTCACGTAGCCCTAGCTCTGAACAACAAACACAACACGCTCGCAGGTATTGCCTTGGTACGCTTCATCTTTCTCGCTTAATCCCCTCTTCCAAAAACTATTTTTGTTCTCTGCACAGACACGAGAACCAGTGCATTCTTTTTCTAAATTGAGTATCTAACTAGACTATCTTTGTTCCGTAACAAAGACCAAAGATGGTGCAGTGGCAGAGACACATTTTCCCCTTCCTTCGCCACATTCACAAGCGAGTAGTGGATCACCACCACGCAAATCCTTCAGCTCCAAGTATTCTAATTTCTCGCTTAGCCTCTTCTCTTTCACAAGGTTAAGACATTTCTCTATCGCCCTTTTCGTGTTTTCACTTTTGTGGGTTCAGTTTTGTGGAAGTTGTGAGTTTTAAGGGTTCGGTAGCGTAAAACTTGCTTTGGTATTTTAGGTCAGTTGGGAAGGGGAGCGTGGACAACTACAGCACCAACTTTGCCCTGTTTCTCAAGACCCATTTTTCTCGGTTTCCAACATCAGGTAAAATTGTGTTTTGATTGCATGATCACTGGTATAGTAAAACTAAGTGTTTGCTTTGAATGACATGTTAAATCTTTTTGGCACTAGAATTTATGGTTTGGAAGAAGTTTTGTGGACATCCATTTGGGGTGTTTGTATCCTGAGAGAGAATTGAGACATGCGATGGTGATGTTGTAAAAAGAGAGAGATAGAGAGAGAAATAAGAGTATCATCTGAGAGGCATTCAAAAATTGGGTACTTTGGACAGACATTCAAATCATGAGTGCCAGTTTAAGATTATTTTTATTAAAATTAATTCTACCAAACTTTTAAATGAATGGATGCTAAGGCATCTTCTCAACCTCTCTACTCTAATAGTGGGAACTGGGAAAGGAGAGCATTTTCATGTACCATAATGGATTTTATGTTTCCAGCAATGATGTATGTGGTCACAATAGTAACGCAGTTAAAGTTCTACAGTTTGTACGAAATAATTGCAATGGTTGTCTCTTGTAACTGAAGTGAGGATTGTTAATGTTTTCAGTCTCCTTCATAGAGGTTATATCCAGGCTCAAGTTTCATCTGATAGAAAGGAGTTTAGCTGGCATTTAAGTGTTAATTGATGAGGTCAAATCCCTTGCTTTTATGGTTGCTAATCAAATCTCTCAATGGAGTTTGGTTTAACTTGGGTATTCCTTTATGAGGGAACCCAAAGGCTTTTCTTTTCTGGATCTGTTTATTCATAAGTTTTGTAAACACCTGGGTGATTTGAAAGGAACTTACTAATCTTCAGGATGATTATATAATCTGGGAATTTAACTTTTGTTAAGTTAACCATAGCAAAACTCAAGACATACAATCTCTCCTATGATGTCAATCTTTCATCTATTATAGTTAGGAGAATTTGGATTCTTGACCCTTCTAAATGTACAGTAGAATGCAACCACATAGTGGCCATAATGGTGGACGAAGTTATGATAAAATGATTTGGAAAAGAATAAAGTTTTTGAGGTTAGCCACCCAAATGTTTTGGGAAAGAATAAGTTTTTTTGTTTCTCTTTGGGTTCTAGATTCATGGTCTTTTAATCCAGTTGTGCTCTGTTATTCTTGAGTTCTGTTTTGTTGGTTCTTTGTAGTTGTTTCGTTAATCAGTGCTCTTGTCAGGGATATCTTCTCCTATACTCGTATATCTCTTTTTTCTCAATTAATTTATTTTTATGTGTTGAATATAAAGAAAATATAGTTTGGAATTAATTTCCCTTGTGTATAAATCACACATAGGGTGGTCTATTTATAGTAGAGAAATACAACTAAAAGAGTAACTGAAAGTAACAGAATAAACAGAAGATATTGTTTGATATTGTGGTTACCAATATCTAACAATATCTTAACAATATCAAATAATATATAAACAATATCTAACACTCCCCCTCAAGTCGGAGCATACAAATCGTATGTGCCAAGCTTGTTACAAATATAATCAATTCTAGGACCCCGTAAAGATTTAGTAAAAATATCTCGCTAACTGATCACTTGAGTTAACAAACTCGGTCTTGATATCTCCGGACATAATCTTTTCTCGAATAAAATGACAGATCAATCTCAATGTGTTTGGTCCTCTCATGAAAGACAGGATTAGAACTAATATGAAGAGCGACTCGATTGTCACACACAAGTGTCATTTGAGTGACATCTCCAAATTGTAACTCTCTAAGCAATTGCTTGAGCCAAACAAGTTCACAGGAAGCCGAGGCCATAGCTCTATATTCCGCCTCGCACTGGATCTTGCCACAACACTTTGTTTCTTACTTTTCCATGAAATCAAGTTACCACCAATGGAGACACAATATCCGAGATGTAGATCTTCTATCCGAAGGAGATCCCGCCTAATCGACATCCGAGTAGCAAACAACTCTTGTATGGTTATTAGAAGCATATAACAATCCTTTTCCAGGAGATCCTTTAATATACTTCAAGATACGAATGATCGCATTCCAATGATCTTCACATGGTGAATTAAGAAATTGACTTACCACACCGATCGCAAAGGAAATGTCGGGACGAGTAATCGTAAGATAATTCAATTTTCCAACCAATCTTCTATACTTGCTCAGGATCGATATAGGCTCCCCCGATTTGGTAGAAGTTTAGTATTGGGATCCATGGGTGTATCAACGGACTTTGAACTCATCAACCCAGCTTTCTTCCAAAATATCTATGGCATACTTCCTCCGAGATATAACAATACCATCATTGGACTCGTGCTACCTCAATACCCAAGAAATATCTAAGTTTGCCAAGATCTTTGGTCCGAAAATGGTGACAAAGATGTTGTTTCAACCGAGAGATGCCATGGTTGTCACTACCTGTAAGAACAATATCATCAACATATACTATCAAGTAAACACATCCAAGCACTCGAGTGTCGATAAAAGACAGAATGATCCGATTCACACCGAGTCATACCAAATTGTTGAACAACCTTGCTAAACTTTCCAAACCAAGCCCTAGGAGACTGTTTTAGGCCATATAGGGATTTGCGAAGACGACATACCATCCCGTAAGACTCCCCGAGCAACAAACCCAGGAGGTTGCTCCATATATATTTCTTCTTGCAAATCACCATTGAGGAAAGCATTTTTAACATCCAAGTTGATAAAGAGGCCATTGTTGAAGAAGCGACCATGGCGATAAATAAACGAACGTAAGCCATCTTTGCCACAGGGGAAAAGGTATCTCCATAATCCAACCCAAAAATTTGAGTATAACCTTTGGCCACAAGACGAGCTTTGAGGCGATCAATAGTACCATCGGGTCCAACTTTGATAGCAAACACCCACCTGCAACCAACAACAGATTTCCCAGACGGTAACGGGACCAATTCCCAAGTTCCACTATTATGAAGAGCACTTAGTTCATCTAACATGGCCTGACGCCAACCAGGATGGGCTAAAGCTTCACGGACAGCTTTTGGAATGGTCACGTAAGAAATAGAGGAAAGACATGTATAAAAAGGTAATGACAGTCGATGATAACTCAAAGCAATATAATGGGGAGAGGGATTACGTGTAGAACGAATACCTTTTCGGAGGGCAATGGGAAGGTCGGACTCATGTGTCGGATCCGGAGGAGACGAGTAGTTGGCACTTGAGTAGAGTCACATGGTGGTGGTTGTGATTGGTTTCGAGAACTATAAATCGAAGAGGCAGTGGAGAAGAAGCTAATCATGGAGCGTAAACTAATGGTGAAGAAGACACAATTAGAGGGTCACAAACAACAGGAACATTAAATGTATTAGGAGTGTTGACAAGATTGGATGGAGACAGAGGTGAAGTTTGACTTTTAAAATAAAGAGACAACTCATCAAAGGTGACATCTTTTGACACAAAATAACGGTTAAGAGAAGGAGAAAAACATTTGTATCCTTTTTGTGATCTTGTAAACCCTAAGAAAACACATTTATGTGATCTAGGAGAAAGCTTGTCCGGACTGAATTGAAATTATGAACAAAACATGTAGACTCGAAAACTTTCGGAGGTAAAGGATGAAGTGGTTCATGAGGGAATAAAATGGAATGAGGTATTTTATTATCTAAAACCGAAGAAGGCATGCGATTAATGAGATAACATGCAGTAAGAAGAGCATCACCCCAAAAATGTTGAGGAACATCTCCATGAATTAAAAGTGTGCGAGTTGTTTCAATAAGATGTCTATTTTTACGTTCGACTACACCATTTTGTTGAGGTGTATAAGCACAAGAAGTTTGATGCAAAATACCGTGAGAAGCCATGAATTGTTTAAAAGAATGAGAAAGATATTCACGGCCATTATCACTACGCAAAACTCTAATAGAAACACCGAACCGAGTTTGAATTTCATTAAAAAAAGTTTGAAAGATATGAAATAATTCGAACGATTTTTCATCAAAAATAACCAAGTGCATCCGGAATAATCATCAATGAAAGTAACAAAGTATTGAAAACCTAAAGTAGACTTAACGCGGCTAGGTCCCCAAATGTCGAGTGAACCACGACAAAAGGGGACGAAGCACCACGTGTGAAACTACGAGGAAAGGAAGTACGACTATGCTTGCCTAATTGACATGACTCACACGCCAAACTAGATAAGTTAGACAAGGCAGGGACAAGTTTCCGTAACTTGGCAAGGCTTGGATGACCTAACCGTGCATGAAGAAGAGAGGAGACTCCATAACCGTACTAACATGTGTAGAGGGACGGAGATAATAAAGACCATGAGACTCACATCCTGTGCCAATCACTCGTTTCGAACTCCTGGTCCCGTAAACACACGTAATTGTTGGTAAAAGTAACAACACAATCAAGAGAACGAATTAGACGACCGATGGACAACAGAGTTAAAAGGAGACCCAGGGACATAAAGAACATTATCAATGGTTAAAGAAGGAAAGAGTTTAACCGTTCCAACACCATGAGATGATACTCTAGAGCCATCGACCAGATGTAATGGAAGGTAAATGATTAGGAGAGGATAAAGAGGAGAACAAAGATTTGTTACCGATAATATGATCAGTGGCTCTCGAATCAAAAACCCAAGGACCAGGAGAAAATGATTGGGTCGGACCAAGCAAAATATGTATTTGTATGTGTGACAGATATAGTGGAACTAGAAGACTGTTGATCCTTATACCATTCGAGAAATTTGTTGAACATAGCAGGACATGTCGGATGCAACGAAGAAGGAAGATCCCCTACGGATAAAGGTGGGGAAAGATTGGTCCGAACAACTACAAGCAGACCGAGGAGAACGACCATGTAATGTATAACACTTGTTAATCTTGTGACCTAGCTTGCCACAATGTTCACACTTAGGACGCCATTTTTCCTGTTTGCGAGGGCGAGCCCGGTCATCACGATGGGATGTCAACACAAAAGAATCGTTAACAAAATTGGAAATAGTGGAAGAAGTCATGAAGAGCGGGAGAACAAACCCCGACCGAGACAAGCAAAATCATATGTCACCGGTAAAAAAAATGAAACTCCGGCGAATTCTCCGACAGCGACGGACCCGATGGATCGCTCCAGCGGCAGCGGTGACAGGTAACGTGAACTAGTACACTAGGTAAGTTCCCGGGAAAGAGAGGTGGGTCACTAATGGACACACTTAAATACCAAGTCTTTCCTTGCCGTAACTTTCCTAAACATGCACTTTCACACTACCAAATAAAATTCAATGACAAAGATAATTCTTTTCGATGTGGAGGATCGGCTTACCAGCAGCGGTGGGGCGGCTCTAGCAACGGTGGGGCGGCTCCAGCAGTGGACAAAAGGCGGAAAAAAAATTCAAGATAACCTTAAGCTCTAGATACCATGTTGAATATAAAGAAAATATAGTTTGGAATTAATTTCCCTTGTGTATAAATCACACATAGGGTGGTCTATTTATAGTAGAGAAATACAACTAAAAGAGTAACTGAAAGTAACAGAATAAACAGAAGATATTGTTTGATATTGTGGTTACCAATATCTAACAATATCTTAACAATATCAAATAATATATAAACAATATCTAACATTATGCAAAACAAAATTACATTCTCAACAATTCTTGTTGCTGCTCATAAATTGTGGCAAACAATTTCTTAGACTTTGTGATCATTCTCAATTATGTTTGGAGATTTCGATAAGCAGGTTTGTCCATATTTAATATTTTCCAACTCATTAAACTAAAACCTCAGGGCTTACTGAGCTATAAATATTATAATTTTATATCTCTGTATGGATTGTTGTTTCTTGTTACCTTGATCATACCCTCTTAACATCATATGTTGTATTTTATTACTTGACTATTTTCATTTCAGGGAATTTCAAGTACTACTCCCTTGCTGGCAAATTCATCTGAGGAAACACCTGTTTTGTCACCTTTAGTCCCAGTTTCATCCTTGGGTAGTTCAAAAGGTGAAGACCAGAAGCAGAAAGCTGTTACTAAGCCAGAAAAGGTTCAAGCAATATTAAAGGGGATAAAGCAGGTTTGAGATGCCTCATCACTGTTCGTGATTGTTTGCTTTTGGTTTTATTATATGCACCAGTTGATTTTCTTTCATTAATGGCATGCTTTGGTAGACCTGAAATAATATATGCACCAAAGGAAATATTGTATTTTAATTATTTAAATAGGGAAACAGTTTCTGCTTTATTCATCCAGTCTAATCCATGTGATGAATGTATTCATCAAATTTCACTTAAAAATTTATTATTTTAGAAGCTGTACTAGATGGCCAGAAAACTGGGAAGTGCTGGTGATATTGCTGGTGATATTGCTGGAGAAGGGTGGGTATTTGTCAGAAAAGGAGGAAAATAGGGTTTCCATTCCGATCCAAAGGAAGGGGCAAAATGTCAAATTGTTCCCTTAAGCAACCTAAATAACAGTTTCATGCTTAAAATACGTTTTGCCAATCCACTTTGGCTGTGATTTTCTACAATTTTACCCTTAATTGCAGCTGAGATGCCCGCTACTTCGAATTGCAGCACTATTCAATTTGTAGCATGCTCTAGCTGCTCCACAATACTGCTCCGTGATTGCATCACTCTATTAGGTGCCATTGAAGAACCAAAAATATCGGAAAGAAAGAACATGTTTTATTTTATAAATTAAACTAATTAAACTGCATGCTGTTATGGAAACTGTTTGTAAAACAATTTTTAGAGTAGAGAAAGTAAAAGAATTTGCTGTACTCTGTTGTGTTGGAGTGGACTAGTTTCATCTTTCCAGCTGCAACTGCCACTTCCAATTGCAAGAATAACACCTTATGTTTCAAATACGAGTGGCACATCTTTACATCCCTGATATCATTTCAGATCTGCTATATATGTTACAACAGTGGTGATGACGATGATAATATGTAAACCTAAATGACACTTTTAAACAATGCTTGTACTTCCACAACCAAGCTAACAGAGTGCACTTATAAGTGTTGATTGAACAATCATGAGTTGATTGTTGTGACCAAATCGAGTACATGCGTAGTGTAGCACTTAAACTTTGGGTATCAGTCTAACTGGCTTGTAAATCAGGGGTTGCAACACACTTACTTACTCTACTTTAGCATATTTCTAAACCATCATCCTTGAGGTAACTTATATACTATAACTAGTATTAGCACGGGACTTTGATAGAAAAACATTATATTTATATTGAAATGGTTATTGAACTTTGAGCTAAATAAGAATTGGCGTCAACAATATAAATTATAAAGTTAATTTGTAATTAAAAATTCTAAAAAATAATACTTGTGTTCAAATACAATATTAGTTTCCTCTAAAGCTACTCTAGTTTGAAACTGCAAGTACTACTAATTCTTACAACAATGTGTAAGAATCACCATTTGAAGCAAGAATGAAACTATATGTATTAGGGCCCAAAAGTAATTAAATGTTACCAGAAGTTATCTTCCTGTTACATGCAAAAAGTAACTAATTAAATGATGGAATCTTATATCAAGTACCAGTAATAATCTGACTTGTAATTGTAGTGCATATATAGTGATGATTTAGTTAGATATGACAGGAAAACATGCAACCTTATATCAAGTACCGATAATAATCTGACTATAATGCATATGTCATGATGATTCAGTTAAATATGACTGAAAGGCTACAATTGTCTGCACTAGTACAAGCAAACCATGCAAGTGTAATTGCATAACCAATGGATAACTATTTTCTGCATAAGCAGTTGCATATATCACTAGTTGATGTGGGACTGAACTACCACCTTGAGGTTGCAATTTTGGCAATCCCCATTGAGGTTGTAACTTAGGTAAGGTAGGGTGATTACAACAGTAGCAAAACTCTGAAGTTAATTACAATTCCAACTATCACTATCTTCATCAGAAATTATTAGTGCTGAAGTGCATTCCTCTCACTTTAGAGGAGCTAAATCTATCAACATTTTCCTCCATGCGTCTCTAAAAGATTCTAATCTGTTAGATAAATAAAAATAACTTGGTTGTCCCTATAAAATAATTCAAATATTCCATTCCCCCACCCCCACCCCTTTTCATGGTTCTCCATCGTTGTCCTCCTCACCAATCTTTCTGTAACTGTATCTACTATATTGTTTTATCTCTCCATTTCTAATCTTCAATGCACCCACATATCTGTGTGTTTGGTTTACTAGTAAGTACTATTGTAGGCTAAAAGAAAACCATTGATTTGACAATATGAATAAGTATCAGTGTATCACCACAAGTTTATTCAGAATAGCAATAATATGAAAATTAAAAATTTACTATGCTTTATTTCATCTATGTGGTGCCCCTGCATAGCTATTCTTTAAGAAAATTATGTGTTATTTTAATCAGCCTGTATAAACTTTTGCTGACAAGTTGGTCCCTATTTTTTTCGCTATTGAAATGCCTTCCCTGGTTTTCTGTGTAAACTATCTTAATTTATGGTTTAAGAAGGGTCTGATTGATATCTGACTGATTGCACTTTTTTCATACCCTGTCTTCAATGGTATTTCAGAGTCCAAAGAAGGTCAACTTAGTTGCTGCTCTGGTTCGTGGTATGCTTGTTAAAGATGCATTGATGCAGTTGGAATTGACAATAAAACGAGCAGCAAAAACTGTTTATCAGGTGGTAAAACTAGGTGTTTTTCAGTCACCTCATTGGACAAAATTACAAAAACTATAATATTAATTGCTTTCAAAGTATCTCTGCAAATGCATCAGATTTAGTAATCTTTTTTGTCAACATCTCTGATCCCTCCCTTAGTCCTTTTACATTGATCTCAAGGGCCAGGGTTTCAATGAGGTCATCTAGATTTTTACACTGGGTCAATGTCACGACAGTAGTAAAGGAATTGCAATACATTTTCCTTGTTAATTTTCCCTGTTTCATGATTTTTTTCAATTATAACACCAATATCAAATTCTAAAGTATCCTTGCTCTTCCATGCTTTATGCTGGTATTTAACACAGCAATTTGTGATTATTTAGATTTGAGGTTTATTCAATTTCAGCGGAGAGAAAGATTATTCTGTTACCTTCTAATAGGGTAAAACAAAATTGCAAGCATTTGTTTTAAAATCCTACACATTGCAGGTTATTCATTCGGCTCGAGCAAATGCCTCTCACAACCACGGGTTAGATCCAGAACGCCTCATAGTCGGTAATGTTTTGAATTTCATAATTATTAGAAGTGAAATTGTTTCGTCACATGATTTATAATAGAACATTGCAACATTGTTTAATCCATATAGCCGACCTCATCTAGCGAGGAAAGGCTTAATAGTTCTATCTCTGATGATCCTGCATTCTTGTTTCTTACAGCGGAAGCATTTGTAGGAAAGGGTTATTACAAAAAGAGAATTGCCTACCATGCCAAAGGAAGATCAGGGCTCATAATGAGACCAGAATGCAGGCTAACAGTTGTAGTGAGAGAGATAACTCCTAAAGAAGAGGTTGATATTGCTAGGTTGAGAGTTCACAACTTTAAGAAACTAACTAAGCGTGAGAGACGACTTGTGCCTCATCAGCTTATTGAGACAACTCCTGTTTGGGGCCGCAAAAGCAAATCTAGTGGTCAAAACTTGAGTGCTACACCTGCATGAGCCTCACTTTTTTCCAAGTTTTCATGCTTCATGGCATTTTTTGTGTAATAGATTATTCTTCTTGGCCATCACATAATATGGAAACAGTTGAGAAATTTGTTTGTTCCTTGTTGCAAATGATAGAATTTTGTGCTGGATCATGTTCGGTATTATTCTCATTTACTAGCTTATGTTTCTACCTACTAGGTACCAAAGAGGATATTCCCTGTTCAATCAGTAGCATGAATCTCCTCTTGTTTTTAATGGAAGTATATAACCCTCTGATTTTTAAGATACGGGTATTCTTGCATCATTATATCAACTGTGCTTCAATTATTTATTGAACTTGTTAACAACATATATCAATCGAAAAATGAATTAAGTATCAGGCGTAACTTTGATTTCATGTGTCAAATCTACAGTACATGAAATAGAATGAGAATGATACTGGTTTCAGATTGGGGTGTTTCTCTCTCCACCGTTACATTTTAACCCAAGAAATTGATAGGATATAGAAAGTTTAGCCCTTTATATTGTTATGCATTAGTAGTGGGCCAAGCACTGGTTTCACTAATGCAAGACCAAAGCCTAAAACTTGTATTAATTGGCGATCAAAATATTAAGACAAGAAAAAAAAAATGCACTGGCTAGAATCTATGGACTGAGTAAAGGCAAAATTTAAGCCACCATATCATTTTATAGGAGAAAAGGGTTTATCTGGGTTCTCTTTCAAACAACAGAAAATTATTTATCTAACACTTGTGTGGTTTGATTCCTTCCTCACGATTGTACTACAAGTTTAAATTGATACCAGGGTTAGCTAAACCTCATATATGCATCTACATCTTCATTCTTTTTTTTTCTTCAACTATTCAGAAAGCTACTGCCAGCCTAATTTTACAGTCATTATTTCTATTTTTCTCTTCTTCTTTTTTGTATTACATATTCATTATTTATCATAGTTTCTTTACGTTTTTCCTTTAAATCTCTCTCTCTCTCTCTCTCTCTCTCTTCAAAGGCAAGAATTATATACACAAAGAGTAATATAGATGTTTCATTTTTTCAAACACTTCATAACGCCTCTTTTTTCTCTATTGTTTTCATCACATTACATTACCTATTGTATCTAAATTTTTGTCTTCTTATTAAGTATTGAATAGCATTTGGAAATAATATGCCACAGCAAATGCATGCAACTTCTGAATTTAATGTTATTATAATGTAAGACGACAAACTTGAAACTCCTTTCTTTAGACTGCATATATCTGTGTTTCTCAACACACCCTTTCCTCTACGGCATTACACATTCCACACAAATGCATATTTTTATTTCTTTTCACTCTGTAGGATATTTGCCACCAAGGAAGTAGTGGAAAACCAAGTAACATTCTACACTGTATCAGTACGTGAGACTGGTAAGTCATTATGGTTCTGTAACTGGGCACAGAGGATTCTGCACATTCATCAATAACACTGTTCAAGCAATAATGTAGTAACCACCTGTCTCATGGGAGTGAAAACAAATGATAAAATGGAATGGATCTCAACTTTTTACCTGTTTAGCTGCTGCACCAGGTTCATAAAAAAATAAAACAAAATTAAAAATAACAGCTACCCAACTTTTTTTTTCTTTGCTATATGAGGCTTTCTAAAAGAATTTTCATTTTTTTCTATGAATCGAAAACAATAGCAGCTGTGAAATTTTACGTATCCAATTTTGTCAAAATGCCACTAATTATTGAATATAATTAAATACGAGTTTTATAATACTTTTTTCACCACATTCATCTGTATATATATTTTTTAACTTTTTGTTTTTAAATATGTCATCTACAATTTTGATTCTTGTTTTTGTGTGATTTTAATCTCTACATTTAAAAAAAATAAAAATCATAACTTTAATTCAATTCTTATTTTTGTATATATTTTAGTTTAGTTTAATTGAACATAAACCTAACATATTACTATCAAAATTTAATTAATTAATTAAATCTATAGATATATATAATTAAAGATTAAATATTATATGAATATTAAATTTGTTAAACTATAAGGATAAATCGCAAAATCATACATAAGAGCAAAATTACATAATCATAACTTAATGGAATCAAAATAGTAATTTAATTTTATATTTTTAATTAATTTATTAAAATTTAACATGGGATTCTTATTTTTATTTTATCCATACGTGTGATAAAAAAATTAAAAGTTACTTTTAAAAATAAAAAAAAATATAACGGTAAAATAAGAAAAAAATAAATTCTCAGCCAAATGATTTTTATATACCAAGAACACTGTTCAAATATATCGTAAGACTTTTCTATTCTATTTTAATAAAGGTGAAAATTAAAATAATTGAATATTAAAAACGAGAAAAATGAATAAATAAAATATTAGAATTTTTCATTTTATTTTTCTTATTATGTACTTTTACTAATGGAGTATTTTTTTTATTCTAATTATTTTCAAACCATTCTTTCAGAAAAAATTCAACTCCTCTACAGTAATAGTCTATTTACTCGTATACATAATCAATTTTTTTAATTTGTCATGTCGAATCAAACTAGTGTATGTTTACTAAGGTCAAATAAATTTTAAAAGAAAAGTTAATTTTGATGTGAAAGATTTTATATTAAATGGGAGATAAATAAACAGTATTAAATAATATAAATTTTTGTTAAAAAAGGTGAAACCCTAAACCCTAAAATACGGGTAGTAGAACTCTATAAAAATTAAGTCAACTCTACTTCATAATCTAAAACTTTATTTACCATAAACTAATTTATTGAAGTCACCAAACTCACGATTGCCACGTGTTTATAGTTAGATATTAGTCAATCTTTCAACTAAATTAACAAATTAATCTCTAAATATATTAATTCTTAAAATTAACAATTATTTATTTTAGTATTTACATTGGGCATTTATCAATTTCAAATTTGAAGTTGTGAATTATGAAAATTTTAGTGTTTTTTTTTTATGTGCATTAATCTTACAAATATATCAACCCATGAAGTTTAATTTGTAAATTGTAATTGTGGTTTATTCAAATAAAATTTCACGCCGACGTTTATTATCACTTAACTAAACACATGTGTCTGCTTCACACGTGTGCATTGCCAGCTGTACGCAGCCTTTTAAAAGCAAGGACCACTTTACACGTGGCGGTTGTATCCAAATCATCATCTTTTTAAAGTAAGGATCTGTTTGGTTTACCTTCAATCACAACAAACATGGGCTTTACATACATTTTAAGAAAATTTAAAATTTATTTTATTTGAAAAGAAAATAGCATTATTTTAAAATATAAATGAATATTAAAAATTTTAAATTATTTTTACTCATAAAAAATAAAATAATTTACTTCTGTCAAAACTAATTATAGGAGCTTTCGAAAAAATAACAGTACACTGAAGTTAGTGTGTAATATTATTCTGTTTGTGATGAATGCGATTCTACTGCAAAGTAAACACGTTCAAAATATATTTCTATAAAACAAAATGCGCAAATATATTTTAATAGCATAAATATTTTAAGTTTAAAAGTTTTAAGCATTGACCACGTCATCTAAAATATTAAACTGTGCTTAGTTTATTTTTAGTTGAATTTATTTAGTATAACAGTTTTATTATTATTAATAGTTTTTTTTTGAAAACAACATAGTATTATTCTTAAAAAATTATGTACATGTTCAAAATTTAGCCAATCACAACGTAGCAATGTCTGTCCCAAGATCAATCTTGACCGTTGGATGGAAAAACATGTTCGCACTTTAAGCCATGTTGCTCGAAGCATAAGGTTTCCTTTTTCCCGTTGATGGTGTAAAATAATGCCTTTTACAGAGAGAATCTTCATCTTCGAGACAGCGAGACTGACACATTATCTTCCATTTCTAGAGAGAGAATGGTTGAAACGAATTTTTGAATTGTGGGTGTGAATATTGAAGTGATATTCTAAATTGCATTTTTGTATGTATCACTTGGTAGTTCAGCCTGATCACTTTTCATGCTTAGCTGTTTATTTTTTTTTTCTTTTTCTTTTAATTTTTATTTGGAATTTTCAGGCTTTTATTGTAGCCTTTGACTCTAGGCGAAAGATTCTTCTGATTTCTTCACTTTTTTTTTATGTTATAATTAAATGAGATTTTGAGTGTTTTGTGTCCGTTTCTCAATTATGAAGCATAAACCGTTTCTGGGTGTTTCTGATTCTGAGGAAACTGCTTCTGGTTTGTAGTGTTGTGTCATTTGAGCATGAAAGACGCGGTTTTGCGGAAGATCGAGATTTGCCTTTATTGACAGAAGCATTGCATTTACATGACTTAGTATTGTTGAGAGTTGGCAAAGCAAAGTCTTGGGGTTGGTTTGTGATCCTTTGAGGCATTTCTATGCCACTACTTTAGCGTGTGTCGTAGTCAGAGAGATAGAGTGTGTGGTTGTTTTGTGAAGTTTGAAGATTAAGCCACGGCAATTTGCTATCTCAGTTATCCATTCTTAAAAGGTTGGTTGGTTCTATAATTTTTATATATTTTAAATTTTGTTTTTGGGTTTGTCGCTTTGATTTGATCTTCTACTTCTTGGAAGAAAAGAAGTGTTCATTTGTTACCTTTTTAATGTTTTTGTTTTTGTGAAAATTAGATTTTGTCTTTCTGTATGTGGATATCACCAATCATATCATGGAACATGGGGTCTCTAATTGTTTTGGGTTTCACAGAAACATTGAGGATTGGAGAACAAGGCTTTTATATGCATCATCCAATGTCCCTCAACAGAATAAACTCTTGGAATATTAAGCAAATCATCTTAATTTGAGGTATATTTCATGTATTATTTTTTAATATTTTTTCTGGTGATGGTTCATTGTACGAACTAGCGTGGATACAACTGTAGACAGGGACTTATGTCTTCCCTTCAAAGGAAAGCCTCTCCCTTTCTCATACCAGTAGCCTCATTTATGAGGAGAAAGAAAGGAAAACACACAGCTAAGAAAGACTTCTTCTTTCCTCACTCTCTGTAGAACAAACTTTGACCGTTGATAAGGGTCAGACACTAGCTGATTAAGCTCTCTTTTCTCTCTAGATTCATCTTTGACACTGTCATGGTTGAACAGTAAAGTTGGGGTTTTGTTTCCCATAGACCAATATACCCCTAGAAAGGATGACATATTACATTTGTGCGATGTGCTAGGTGTGTCTTTTGGAAGGGTACTTTTGGATTTGTGTCTAAAATATCTGTCGACGGCTTAAAAGTATTTTCCTTCACTTTCATCAACAACAATGTTTCATCTACCATGGTTTAGTTGTAGTAATAATAATGTTTATTTTACAACAAATTTAATATGTGCTTATGATTTTCCAAGGGCATTGAATTGCCAAGTGAGAGAAAAGACTAGTGGGGCATGTTTTGGTACTTCAGTTTTGTTGGTCGAGCCATGCTTTCAGTAAACTAGCTTTGTGTGATCATAGTAGATTCTCGAAGTTGTTGGGGGTATTGGGGTGGTTGTTTTTTGTGCCTCAGAGTTTTCTATTGGAATCTTAATTTATAATTTACGGATTATATGATTGCAACTGCTCCACCACAGCCTTTCAATTTTCTATGCCTGATATCATTTTCTATTTTACCAATTGGCATCTGGGGCATTTCTTTGAAGGCTTGGCTTTGTTGTGTTTCATTTGTGGCAGCTAATCATCTGTTCCGCGCCTACCAAACCAAAACCATGGTGGAAGATGGTGATGAGGTTGCAGTTGATGCACGTTCCACAGAAGACTGGTTGTTGCATGCACAGGAACTTGTTCCTATTGTCCTTGATAAGGCTAGAGAGGTTAAGGGATTTGCTGGTAGATGGAAGATGATCATTGCAAAATTGGAACAGATCCCGTCGCGATTATCAGATTTGTCAAGCCATCCATGCTTCTCAAAGAATGCTCTATGCAAGGAGCAGTTGCAGGCTGTGTCAAAGACGCTTGGGGAAGCGATTGAATTAGCTGAGTTGTGTATGAATGAGAAGTATGAGGGTAAGCTTCGGATGCAGAGTGATCTAGATGCATTGGCTGGGAAGCTCGATTTGAATTTGAGGGATTGTGGGCTTTTGATCAAGACTGGTGTGCTTGGTGAGGCTACTTTACCATTAGCTGTGTCTAGCTCTGTGGCAGAATCAGATGTTGCAACACACAGCAACATAAGGGAATTGCTGGCACGTCTTCAGATCGGGCACTTGGAAGCGAAGCACCGAGCTCTAGACAGCATTGTTGAGGCCATGAAGGAAGATGAGAAAAATGTTTTAGCTGCTCTTGGTCGAAGCAACATTTCTGCTTTGGTTCAATTGCTTACAGCTACCTCTCCCAGGATAAGAGAGAAAACAGTTACTGTTATATGCTCACTTGCGGAGTCTGGTAGTTGCGAAAATTGGCTAGTTTCTGAGGGAGTTTTGCCACCTCTAATAAGGCTTGTTGAATCTGGCAGTGCAGTTGGGAAGGAGAAGGCAACTATATCCCTCCAGAGGTTGTCTATGTCAGCCGAAACAGCCCGGGCGATCGTGGGGCATGGTGGGGTTCGTCCATTGGTTGAACTTTGTCAAACTGGGGATTCTGTATCACAGGCTGCGGCTGCTTGTACTCTGAAGAACATATCAGCTGTGCCAGAGGTGAGACAAACTTTGGCCGAAGAAGGAATCGTGAGGATTATGATCAATCTACTTAACTGTGGAATACTGTTAGGTTCCAAAGAGCATGCTGCAGAATGTTTGCAAAATCTCACTGCAAGCAATGAGAATCTAAGGAGGAGTGTCATATCAGAAGGTGGTGTTAGGAGTCTTCTGGCTTATCTTGATGGTCCACTTCCTCAAGAATCCGCGGTTGGAGCATTGCGGAATTTGGTGGGATCCGTCCCTGAGGAATCCTTGGTCTCCCTTGGTTTGATCCCCCGATTGGTTCACGTGTTGAAGTCAGGATCCTCGGGTGCTCAGCAAGCTGCGGTGGCCGCAATATGCCGAGTTTGCAACTCCACAGACATGAAGAAAATGGTTGGTGAAGCTGGCTGCATCCCTCTCCTTGTGAAGATGCTTGAGGCCAAGTCAAATAGTGGTAGAGAGGTTGCTGCTCAAGCAATTGCAAGCTTGATGGTTGTGTCTCAGAATAGGAGAGAAGTTAAGAAGGATGATAAAAGTGTGCCAAACTTGGTTCAGTTGCTTGATCCAAGTCCTCAGAACACTGCAAAAAAATATGCAGTCACTTGCCTTGGATCACTTTCTTCAAGTAAGAAATGTAAGAAACTAATGATCTCATATGGCGCAATTGGGTATCTGAAGAAACTTACTGAGATGGACATTCCAGGAGCTAAAAAGCTACATGAACGGTTGGAAAGAGGGAAATTAAGAAGTTTGTTTAGCAAGAAATAAAAGTAAAATTTGTTAATTTCCTTTTTGTACCAAGAGGCAAAATGTTAAGTTGCAAACTTGAATGAAACAAGTTTGCTAATCTATGTATTATAATCAGTGTTAGTTTATATTATAAATATTTAAATTCCTGTACACACTCTTTCTCACTCTCGTGTTTTTTGAAATTCATATTGCAATTCGACTAACAAGTTAAATCTTCTTGTTTTGCTGTGATCTGTATACTACTTAAAACCTGAAGATGAATCTTTTGTCTTCATGCAGTGATTTTTTTATTTATTGGCCACTTTGTGAATCTATGTAATGATTGTAATTAATGTTGGATTATATGATGAATCATTAAGCCTTTTGTCTCCTTTGTCTGCGTGGATGTGCTTTGTACTAAATTTAGGTTCTTGAAGACTGTCTGAGGATTCCCTTTCGATGCTAACATGTGAAAAAGTTAAAACTTCTGATGCAGTGATTTTTTAACCATGCAGTGTGATCTTTCTTTTTCATGGTGCATTTTTCTCAATGAGAGAAGTAAGGGTTTCTCAAAGAAACTTAAAAGTCCAAAGTGCATGAGGGCAATTGATCATGGAATCTGAGTAAGCAAAGGTTTTTCTCTTTCCTTGTCCTTTTGGGATTAATGACGCTTTTAGTTTTTGAAAAAAAGTTTCGAATTTGATTAAACTTTGATCTTTGTGTAAAAGGAAAATAAATTAAAAAGTTACTTTTAGTGACAAAAAGTTTAGATATTTTAAAAAGTTATTAATTTTAATAGTTAAAAATTAATATCAAAATTTTCAAAATATACAACATTACTTCCCTCTTACCTTCCAGTTTTACACGAAAGAAAAATGTCTTCGTTTTTTAAAAAGAATATTATTTTACAATTATAAATATTTTTTTTATTTTAACCTTAATTTTATTTTCTAATATAAATACAGATAATATAAAAATAATAAAACTGCTGTTAATACTATTCCTTACATTACATGGAATCCTTAAAATAAAAACTGAGCAAAAATAATATGATAAAAAATTTACAAATCAAACCATCAACGAGTTTTTGTTCTTTTCCTGCAAGACAATGATTTATTTAATAGTGATGAAATTATTTTGAGTGTTGTGAAAGAAACTTTCCGATGTCAAAAGTTATTAGCGTGACTTGAACGATCATAAATATTTCCAAAAAGGAAAATTCAGGGAATGGGAAAAGAAGAAACCTTCTTCATTGTAAATCTCTTAATGAAAATAAAGACCTGTATTTAAGTTGTAAACCTTTGTTAAAAATTAACTTAAGCATACAAAAATTTGTAGAAATTATTTATTATGTAAAACTTTTTCAAAATTTGATTTTTGATTCATTCTAATTTTTACATTAATAATTGATTAATTTATTAATATTCTTCTTTGTTTATGAGCAATCCATGGTGTAACACTGGTGCCCTGAAAGGATAATATTATTGCATTATCATCTCCATTTAAAACAAATATATTTATTTCGTAAAGATAAGCTTTTACGTCACGACACAGTGTACGCTGTTGGGGTGCGTGTGGCAAAAACCGAAGCGACGCATTTAAGTTGAATATCTTCACGACACCGATCCAATCGAAGCCCAATCAGACGGAGTTAAGAACTTTCAACGCGTGGCACATTGACATCGGAATCATCGAACGGTGTAAGATCGTTCCAGGCCACAGAGCACAACAATTCCATTTGTTTGGTTGCTCCGAAAAGAGAGGACCAAACAAGCCCTTATCACAACTCTATCTAACGTAGCACAGGCCCAAACCAAAAAGCTTCGTCTCTCAATTCCGATTCTCCAGCACAATTCCCTTCCCCAAACAACCTTGGTTTGGTACTGTCTCTCTCACTCACTCATGTTTTTTGTTTTTGTGTGTTTTTTACTTTAATTCGTTTAGTGAGAGTTGGGAATTCACGTGCCCTAGTTGTTTGATCCGTTGACCTTGCGGCTTGAGATACTAAAGTTGTAATCTTTGAAGGTGGGGCTTGCGAGTTTCGATTTTGGCTCAACTTAAAGGGGTGTTGATTTGATAGGGTCGTTGGAAATTTATGATTGGTCTTGATGGGTTGTCTATTATTGTTATTTTGAATGTTGCGTTGTTTGTAGTGTGCTTTGTTGCTTTGGAAATGTTAGAAAAGATGAGGGAAATCGAAGATTTGAAGATGTGTTTGTTGTTAAAACATAGTAATGGGATTGATGTAACTGGACTTCGGGGTAGTTTAGATGGATCGATTCTCTGTCTCTCTTTTATCTTATATCATGTATCAAACGTGGCGTAATTGAGTTAAACTTTTTGTTTTGAGAATATGGATCTTAATTCTGATTAATGGATTAATGTTATTTTGTCGTAGTCTGTTGTTATTGGAGAAACTTGGATGTTGATGCTCTTATATTTGCTAGTTGGTTTCAATAGTTGGACCTAGAAAAACCTGATGATTGTACTTTTGGGTGAATTCTACCTGCTAAGTACCCTGGTGACCTGGTCAATATGCAGAACTAGGTCTTGTTTTATTTTTTTTTCTCGTAAATAAACCCTCTGTTGTCTCGGCATTGAACTTGAAAATAATCTTCTTTCCAAACCCTATTCTATTGAAGCTAGCTAAAGTTAGAGGTAGAGTATTCGTGCAGTCCTTCTAATTTGTTCGTCATATGTGTTGGTGAGATGAAGAACAACTGATTCATAGAAAATAGTGGTTTAGGGATTCTAGATAACAAAATGTGTAAATTTCCCTACCATAGTGTTTCAAGAATACCTCTTAAAGCTTGCAAGATGTGGCCTAAAGTAGTCACAGTTGGAAGGACTAATACAGTAAGTATGGAGTTTTATTCTTTTCTACTGAGCCCTCACCAAATTTTTTCTTATTGTCTCTTACTCTATTTATTTCCAAGGATGACAGTTTAGGAGATGTCTTCTTGTTTATGACAGAACACAATCGTATTATTTGATCAATGTAGCTGACCCCACTTAGTGGAAAAAAAAAAACTTTTGTTTTTAAGGAGGATTAGATGGTCAATTAGTGCCCACTTGAGTGCTTTGAAAAGGTTATTGAATGGAGATTCAAATAGTGGGTTGTCAACTATTTCTCTTAATTTTGTATTGAATCATAAGATTCAGGTACATTGAAAAAATACTTCAAATATATCATATAGATTATATATAATGTTCAATGTAAATAATTTAAACTAGAAATAGATAAAACAACTTAAGCAGAAGTCATACAAATAAAAACTATTAGTTATATCTAAGTTTTGAGAAGTCTTTATTTTAGAAGAATGGCAACAAAACAATTAAATAGCTAATGGAGTACAGGCATTCAACGATTGAGTGACAAAGAAAAGTGAAATAATCAAATAGGATAAGCTCACAAGTGTTCGTTCAAATTTTGTTAATTTGAAAATTTAAGCTCACATTTTTTTTTGTGGGAATTGGTGAAAAAGTAAGAACATAGGAATCGTTGAATCATATCGGTGATCAGAATTACATATGTTCATTTATGTATCATAAGATACAAAGTCATTTAAGATTCATCTTGTGATAGAATTGGTGGACAACCGAAAGTGTTTTTAATCGTTAGATTCAATTTGTGAATTGTAAGATTATGATAACTATATTACTTGTGAGAATGGATTTGTGGTTTGAGGAAATTGAGGAAAATTCAAGCAAGGAACAACTAGGGATTTTGTGGGGTCTAGATTAACAACTTTGTTTCTTAGTATTCATTTTGAAAACTATAAAGCTTAACAACTCTGTTTTCAGAATGTGAAGTATATAAATTATCATTTTCAATTCAGATTTTTGTTATGATGATTTTATATGAATGAACATTTTGTAGTTAACAGATCCTAATTTGATCTGATAGAGTAAAATCGTACAGATTTGAGGGGATTTTAGTAGGCGTTTGTGAGGTGAGTAATAAAAATGTTGAACCTATTACATGACTTTGGCCCCATACTTTACCTACCACTTTAACTTTTCAGGTTATGTACTTATTATAATTTAACATTCTCAGAATACTATTGCTTAGTTCCTTGCATGAAGGTTGAGAGAATAGATGAAAATGAAAAGAAAAATGATTTTGGTTGTAAATTGAAATCTGATGAAATTATGCTTCCTTTATGTTATTCAATTTTTAGATCCGAATGGTGTTACTGTTGGATTTTATGCTTACAAGAAGGATGAGTTTTCAAATGCACATACATTATGAAGACTCAAATTTGACATTATCCCATGAATGATGTCACTAACATAAGTGGAAGGTTTACTAAATATTCCTGTTAACTGATTATCATGCTTTTGTGATCTTGATGAAGTATTTTTGGAAATGGTAAAATTGTAGTTCTCAGAAAGATTTTCAGCATTTTGAAAATTTTGATGATATCATAGTTCTTACTGTTTTAATATTAGTAACGTTTAGTTTATGAGTTGAAGTGTTTAACAACTTAATCTGACACCTTTTCTTTTTTAAAAAACTCTTTGCACACATTGCTGCATCAAGTCAGAGTTCGAAGTTGCCCTCCCTATTTAATATTACAATATCACTCTTTACTTTATCTACTCCTTTCTTCTATTTCAATTGACATGAACTGTACTGTCTTTTTGTTATATGGAAGCAATTAGTGTAGAAGATGAGTACGTTGGATGCAACAAGAGCTGAACTTGGTCTTCTTGTTTTATATTTGGGCAAGGCTGAAACAAGGGACAAAATATGCAGGGCCATTCAATATGGTTCCAAATTTTTGAGTAATGGGGAACCTGGTACTGCTCAGAACGTAGACAAAACAACGAGCTTGGCACGAAAAGTCTTCCGTCTTTTTAAGGTTAGGTTATTTTTACTTTCCAAGTTAAACATTATTTTCCATCTGTTCATAATATCATATTTTCTTTTTATCACTTAGGAAGTTGCTGTCCGTAATTATATCATTTTCCTTATGTTTCCCCTTTGATCAATTTGTTTAGAAAAGAGAAATCTGTAGTTTGCATAATTTTTGTTTTGTTTTGGATTCTGAGGTCATAATTGAATAAGAAGGATAAATCCAAGACAGTCAAATACTGTATTATTTTATAGTATTAACCAGTTATAAAATTCAAATATTCATTTTGGCAAAATATTAAGTGTTACTAACTAATTAGTTCATGCAATGACTAATCATTCTTATAGTTCATTCTGGAATTTGCAGTTTGTCAATGACCTACATGCTCTGATAAGTCCAACACCACAGGGCACTCCCCTGTCCCTAATTCTGTTGGGAAAGGTATGAGAACTGCAAGAACATTTAACCTTTTTTCTTGCCTTTTTTGGCTTACTATATTATAATTGTAACGTGTCTACTCATTTGCCAATGACAAATCTCCATCAGGAAATGCAGTTGGTTGGCTATCTTTAATGTGGTCTCTTTTCCCAACGGTCTTCTTTCATCCTTGATTGATTTTCCTAATATCTTGTTGATTTATATTTCAGTCTAAGAACGCACTTCTCTCCACTTTCTTGTTTCTTGATCAATTTGTGTGGCTTGGCAGATCAGGAATCTACAAGGTAGGAAACAATAATATATGTTTGTTTCTGTATTATTATATAGAAACCATCTAGTGGTCTTAAGAGTTCTGTGTCTAACTTCAGAATAAAGAACGCACGGAATTAATTGGCCGGATATCTCTTTACTGTTGGCTGGGTTCCTCGGTGTGCGCCACCTTGGTTGAGGTTTGTGGCTTACCTACCTTCATTGATTCTAATATGTGTGAATCTATGCCCTCAAGTTCCTTCACTGTTTACCCTTGTAATATGTTTTACTTTGATCAGCTAGGGGAGATTGGAAGACTCTCTGCATCAATGAAGAAGTTAGAGAAAGAACTGAAGAACAAGAATAAATATGATGTATGTTGTCCATGCATGTGTCTAAATTCTTGGAACTTTTTGTTTTTGTTGTACATTTGGACTGTGATTGCCATGCTTTTTTATGTGTATTTCATTACTTATGTCTGCAGGATGAGCAATACCGTGGCAAACTAAACAAGTCTAATGAGAGGACTCTATCACTTATCAAAGCAGGAATTGATATAGTGGTAGCAGTTGGACTGCTTCAACTGGCACCCAAGACAGTTACTCCACGTGTGACTGGGGCATTCGGATTTGTTTCATCTCTAATATCTTGCTATCAGGTGCTTGCCAGTATAATTGTATTTACTTCCTTTGTGCATCTATTTTCCTTCCCTAAAACTTTGTATCCATGACCTATCTTTCTGCACAAACATACATACCTTTTGCACAGCAAATGACCATAGAGATATAAAAATACAGACAAAATGAGTCATGACAAATTTTTCTCAAGAACAGTAGCAACCGCATAAACAATGTTTAAAATTAAGTTTTGTAGTAGTTGTGTCTCTCTTGATCATTTGAAGGTCGTGGTTTTCTTTTCTTGAGTTTTTAATATTCTTAGGAGTACCAGTTTCACTAACAAGAATTTCTGGTTTGTGCAATGCAGTTGCTTCCTGCTCCAGCCAAATCCAAAACTTCGTGAAGTGTGGAAGAATAGAATGGTTCTCATGAGGTCTCATTGTTGTCCAATAATTATATGAATTGGTCAGAAAATGTTAGTTGGTATGAGCATTTGACCAATTTGCAATATAGTTACAATTGGTCCGAAAAACTGCTGTGTAGGGTATCTATGCAACAATGATATGTTGCTCCATAATTTACATACATAAATTCCAACATCAAATTGGTTTCCCCTTCCCCTCAATGTTTCACTATGTTATCAAAACGGTCCTTCAAACAACATCAAATTGGTCTTTGAATGACGAAATGAATGTGATGATTTTCTCAGTAAAGGACTAATTTGATGTTTATAAAAGGCTAATTATGGTTGTTAATTGAAGAAATGAATGAATGGTCTATTCCACTGTCATGATGAAAGGAGGGGATGGTGTGAGACAGTTTGAAATTCGGATTAGATCAATCAGGGATACCAGAATATATGTTGAAACTCTTTGAAGTTTACTTGTATAATTTTGCCTTAATTGTTTTAGTTTCTATATTTTACAATATCCCCAATTATTGTTTCTAAACTTGTTCACTGTGGGATTACATACATAAAGGAATTAAGCAGATGGTTTATTCCATTCAAATTTATACAACAAGGACATTATTGCTATAAAATCCTTGAGAACTTTTCAGATTGCAACAAATATCTTTATTTTTATCATGTTTGCAGTAATACTTGGGTGTATAAAATGTAACGTTTTCAAGTAGTTAAAGAGATTAGTGGTGTCTAAATGAAAGGAACTAGTGTAATATATAAAGCATTTTCTTTAAAATCCCAAAATCATCGCGGTATAAAAGTACACAAAAAAAAATCTATATATAAAATATATATATATATATATATATATATATATATATATATATATTTTTTTTTTTTTAAAATGTTGAAGTATAAGAGTCTCATTGTATAAAAATGGATTATTAAGGTATGAGTGTGTCTCACATTATATAAAAATGAATCATTAATGAAGTTCAAGTGAACGGTTAATAAAGTTTAAGTTTGAGGAAATTTCACATCAAAACATTCGAATTTTTCAATTCTATTGTTATAGATATTTCAGTAGAATAGACGGTTTTAATTCCCCTGCAAGGGTTATATAAACACAAAGATTTGGTCAACAGTGCATTTATTTTTTCCCTCAAAAGTTAATAGAATAAACTATGTACGAAGGATAACTCGTGCAGAAATAATATATATATATATATATATATATATATATATATATATATATATATATATATATATATATATATATATATATATATATATATAACTTTCTGTTCCTATTATTTATTTATTTTTCAATTGTTTTTTGAAAATATAAAAATATATATAATATCAGTCTTTAAACTTAATCGTTTTAAGTTTTTCTACAACATAATTTTCATTACCTTAAGTTCAGTATTATCTTCACTAAACTTGTTTTAATAAAACTTTTTCATCATACTTAATACTAAAAATTGTTGTTTAATATTTTACTTTTATCTTTCTTTCATGATTATCTATCTATAGGCAATTCAACTCGAGGCAAGTGCAAGGCAATGCAACTACTAAATGTGAAATATAGTCAACTATTATAGTCACTAATAAATAAAGCATTTAATTCAATTATTTAATGAACCATTATTAATTTATGGTAAACATCAATACTCAACGAATTTTGCATCCACTGTTTATTATTTATTAAGTGCAAAAAATTTAATGTTGTCAACCAATAAAAAATCACCATTTGTATAACTTCAAAGAAGATTACAGTTAAAATCAACAATCTTAACATAAGTTATATGGTGATAAATGAAGTTGTCAACACGTAGCATCAGATGTTAAACCCCATAATTGGGTAGATGATATAAGTTTACGACGTGAGAGAGTGCTAAAGTTTCAAGCATCACATGTTAAACCACAGAAAAAAAAAAGGTGCAATATCCAACCCAACACCAGATCTACAAGAGACGTAAATACTTGGATTCAGATCAGTAGCCAAATCACATAATTTTTTGAAGGGTAACAATAAACAAAGAAAACAGGAAAACTAGTTTGAATGCAATCACTCCTCAAATGGGGAAACTAATTTTTTCCCCTTTTCTTTATTTGAGAGGGGATTACAAAACAAGCAAAGATCAGAAGGCCTGTTCTGGATCAAAATCATCAATATCATATTCTTCCTCATCCCACTCGTCTTCCACGAATCCTACTACTTGTCCACGCATTATAGTCACAATCTGCTGGTAATCTCTCATTCCTCTTGGCTCGACCGAAACATCTTCAGATTCATTTCCAGATTTCACAACAGGTTGATGGTTAGCCAGCTGATCCCTCTTCAACACAAACATTCCAGAGGGCTGAAGAATATTCACACTGAACGGTGGTGACAGTGAGCCTCCCAGAACTTGAACATGAGAAACACTGCAGTCACAGTTTTCTTCAAGTTAGGAACTTAGCACAGCAATCTTTAACATGGATTATGTGCAACATTTAGAATACTTTTTCAAAATGGAAGTGGCAGCTTAACAACTATGTCATGAAGTTTACATAAGCACAGTCCTGCTAAAAGTCTGTTATGATATAGAGAACTTAAAGAAATAAATTTATCTGCAAACTAAAATTAGCTTATGTATAAGTTCAAAATTATGTTTTAAAAAAGTTAATGTGAGTGAGCTTCTATAAATTTACAGAGAAGCTCGTTTCATTTTTTTCTTCTCATTTTTCTCTCTTAAAAGGGGGTTTACAGAAAATTTTATCCAAATAGACCTTGAATGGAACTGAGGAAAGGTAAAATTAATAACAATGTCCATCCTTTTCTCAGTTTGGACTACGTAAAATTTAGGTGAGAAAATTCCCAATAGAAATTTCTATTTTCCACAAATGCATCAAACAGTGAGATGAAAAAGGTAATAGTCAGCGACAACATAAAACAAATTAAAAAAGGTTGTTAGAAAGGCGGATTTTTTTAAGGGGAGTGGGAAGTCTTGGTAAACAAATATACAGGTGAGAGGATACACGTGGCTAGTACGGCTGCTTGAAAGAAATAGATTTTACAAAGTGAGGGACAAAAATCCACCTGATGCAAGTGTGGGTTAAGTAATGCAATCCAGCTCTAAATCTGACTTGTTTATATCCCGAAAGTTTATTTTGATTTCTCAACTTACAAAGAAAGTGGAAACTTGTGCAAATTCATTCAAACAACATTGTCGCACACATTTTTAGCCAATACTCAAGAATTCATGATATGTCACATTCTTAAAGACAAAAATGACATTAAAACCTAGCATTGCGTAAGGCTTATTAGGCCTTCTTTAGGATACTGAATCTGCTCTGCCACAAATTAAGTTTCATAAACCTCAACATTAACCAGTTTGTCAAATAGAAACCAAGTGAAGGAACAGGACGCACCAAATGTATAACAAACCATCCATTTCTTGTCTCTGTACCCTTCCCAAAAGCTCAATCTGCAAGATACCCCCAATACAAAGCACAGGTTCTGGAAGCTTGAACTTCTGCAGCCGGTTTTCCTGTTCATGAGGAATTTTTACCAAAAAATTATGTAAAGCAGTTATTGGAGTTATAAATGAAGGTGCAAATGGTTACACAAACAGAATCATTAAAATATTGATCATGCTAATAATTATAGTCATGCAGATTTTTTTGTATATTGCTAAGCAACAACAAGCTAAGTTATTCTATTTTGAGGGAAATAGATGTTCGCACCATCCAACAACTTTCTATTTTCCACTTGTAATATTTACATTGATTAATGTATAGACCCAGAATCCAACTAATGGATGTGCCTCAAGATATAATAAATAAATAAATCAAACTCAATATTATTTATTCACTCATCATCACATGCATAACACATTATGACATTGACAAACACCTTAAGGGACATCGGATCTTCCCAACTCAAGTATTTCAATATAGAATTGAAGATATAGTTTTCCACTTTCTGTCAGTCAAATATTCCTTCTTATAACTTAAGAATGTGACTTCGGATAATTAATTATGCTTTTTGAGAGTCTTTATTTTGTATAACTTTTTTGTGAGTCGTATAAACTTTTTACCTTGTATGTCTTAAACATAACCACCATGGTGCTATCTGCTATCCCACTATAGCAGTTGGGGAATAGACTCCTCCATGTCCCTCAACATGATGGATAACTACGATTTTAATATTATGGCTAAGTGAAATTATTAGTAGCATATTTGTCACTAGGGAGGGTAATGGCAGGATAGAGAAGTGACCATTTGAATAATAGGAGCAAATCACATAGCAGGTCATGCTGGAATTTGAATAATATGCCCTGTGGAAACGTAAAAGTCTAATGACATGAACAGTGAACATTAGGAAAAAAGGTCCAATCAGAGGATTCGCTTACTAACATATTCACCTCCACTGCGTATTAAATTTGATGTACTCCGTTTTTAATTTGATAAAAAATAACTTCACCCAATTACCATCTATTGCTAACAGTTAAATTTGATGAATTCTTGCTGGTAAATGAATGTGGAATGTTTAATTGTTTATTTAGTTCAATCATTTCATCCAACTAGAGGATAAGAGAAATTTAGAGCCCTCTGATTGTTTTTACAGTATTGCAGCAGCCTTTCAAGTGATTATAAAATTCAAAAATCTTCAAATGAACAAATGACACACTTAACAAAATTCAAAGAGATTTGAATCCAATGCAGATCTATGCCACAAGCACATGGTTTGGTCCAATAGACCAATGATGATTCACATTATTTTTAACAGTGGAAAGGAAATTGGGACACAGAAGCAAATTTTACTTACGGGGAAACTTCTTATTACATCATATCATGTGGTAAAGGAGAGGGAAAGTTATAAAGCCTTTCAATGACCCAGGTGACCCTCTTTAACAGAATTTAAAGAGATTTGAATTAAATGTAGATCTGCAATATGGACATGGTTTGGTCCAATTGATGTAGGATAATTCACATAATTTTTAACAGTGGAATGTAAATTGGGTGACTATAAAATTATTTTCTTATGCGGTGATTTCTTATTAATGCGTGTCGGGTAGACAGGATACATTATTCAAACAAAATGAAATAATACTGCTTGACTAAGTTAGAAAATATAATTGTGGCTGTACTAAATACCTAATAAACTAGACAATGATGAAAAAGACAACAATGAAGGTGATGATTTATTCATAATACCGGGCCTTGCTTATCTGATGCTCAAAAAGAAGCAAAGTTGCATCAAGACTTTTTTCAATATTCTGTTCTCTTCAATCAAAAGCATCACATTTATAACACTAGGGAGTTCACTGTTTATAGAAGGGGACTATTACAATTTAGGACAAACTTTAGTGTACAACTATACAGAAGAGTAAGGCATCCTTTAACAGCAAACATCTACTTTTTCACATCAAGCATTGGGCAATCAGTGAAACAGAAATTATTCAAAGGAAAAACCAGTAGACAAACTACCTAGTGTCAGTTAAATACCTGAGACATTGGAAATTCCGGTGAAGTATAGGTCCATACAAACAACTCATCATCTACAGCATCTAAAGAGGCTTTAGGATGACCCATTTTAAACCGAACAGCGTTTGCTGAGTATATTGGTGATCCCTGCTGAAAGTAAGCTAGACAAGGCATGATATTGTTAGCAAGAAAGAAATGAAAGTATAAAATGGATGGGTCAAGCCATAGTTTGTGAATATTTCAAAGAGCACCTTGAAAAGGCTGGATATTGATTTCTGTAATAACACAAATTTCAGAGATCAACTCGTATGTTAACGTCTCAGGCACATTGGGATTACTTTGTCCATTACTTGACCAGTAGGAAAATCTACCAGAAATGGTATCTCTTGGCTCAAGAGTATTATCAATGCTCTCCCGAGGGAAGTTATCAGTGCTAGAAGCACCAACTGTCTTAGCAATGCAATTCATTGCAACAGATGACATGAGAGCTTTACCTAAATAAGCAAAAACTCTATGTTCTCTCTGTAGCACTAGCCATTCCATAGAATAGCTAGACCCAACCTCTGCATGTTCTTTCGCTCCATGTTGATTCAGTTCAACAACAAAAGCAACTCTAGATAATTGAGGAAACATTCTCAAACACAGCTGCTTGCAAAGACCATTTTCAATCACTGCAAGCCAAAACAGTGATGATCAAAAGGAACTAGAATTGAATTTTCATGAAACTGATGCATCAGTTGAGAAATAAAAACATAGTTTGAACTAGTATAACTCACCAGAATGTCTCCAAGATCGTGAGACACAGGTGACACGAACTAGATCAGCAGGATCATCCAGACACATAAGTATCTTCAGAGACGTATCCGAATCAAGACAACTGAGAAAATCTTTCCGATATTCCATTGTGGACATGATGGCGAACAAACAAAACTAGGATATCTTCTCAAGCCGGATTGAATTGCCACACAAAGTCAACTGTAATATCCACTCTTAAGTGAAAAACCCAGATACTAAAACCAAAAAGTATGGTATTGGTTTACGATTTTTTTATGGACAAATTGATTCCTTTTCATGAATGTTCGCAACCGAATTTAAAATAAATATACCCATATCTCAAAATTTGGGAAATTTTACCCTTTATTTTCTCAGAGTTGTAGCATAATAATGGGGGGATACAGAGAATGGAAATTGTTCCACCCACAGACTAATCAAACAATGACACAAACAGAAAATGGTTGAATAGATTGCAACAGTGAGGGGTGAAAAAGTTATCAACCCAGCATAAAAACCAAACAATATTTTTGTAAGAAAATGAAGATCAATTGAGTGACGTGCTATGAAATTCAGGCCTTTGGGGGGTAAAATCTCTCGCAATCAACTCAAAAAGGGAGCAAATTTCGAAAATAAATCTGAATAAACAAAAAGAAAAAAAAAATTAAGAATGGAAATCTCTGAAGCAACAAGGGAAATTGAGGGTAAAAGGATGGGTATGCGTTGAAGGGGAAAGAAAAACACTTCACCTTCGCCGTGTAAAAAAACGCAATTGCTGCTGCAGAAGCGAAACCCTAGAAGTAGAAGGGAGAGAAAATTGAACAAATAGAGAGAATGGTCAGTTTGCTGTTGGTACGACCAGAGAGAAATGGCTAATAACCTTGCCAAGCACAAGGCTTAATCATTGCTCTACAATTTTTATAGAAAAAAAAAAACATATTTGTCTCGTTTATTGTAAAACATAAATAGAATTCTATTGTCTATACGTAATTTGAAAGTTTTCTAATAGTTCGACATTTCACTTTACCATAATCTTTGAATGAAGTCAACTTAATAGTTGATATTAATATATATATATATATATATATATATATATATTTTTATTTTTAATATAATTTAAATTTTAAATACAACTATAGATTTTCAAATAGTTATTATAATAATCTATTTATCTATATATTAGCGGAAATATATACCCTTCCTTATATTTATTACATAAAAATATTACAGTTTTAAGAAAAGTTATTTGAAAAAAAGAAGATAACTTTGTAAGAATAATGTAGAGAAATAAATTGATAGTATCATATCTAGGCATCATTCAAGTTGTGGTTGTTGTTTTTTAGTAGAAAGTCATATAATTGCTTTTAACTGAAAAACGTTATATATGTTATCAAATAATAAAAATTGTTTTTATTTGATAAAGTATAAACTTATTCAATTATAATTAACAACATAAATTATAAAAAATAATATAAATATAATATAATTATATTCATTAAACTTTTTAAAGATTCCTTCTCTTTCAAACAAAAAATCGTTGGCAAAGACATTCAAATAATTGTGCATTAATTTACCTCTTCTTTAATTTAGGATAATCAAAATATGGTTGAACCAGAATAACTAGTGATTTTTGAGTTATAAAACAATGGGTAAAGAAATTAATTAAATATAACAATACTTTTATATTTAAAGAAATGATTTAATTTAGTTAAAAATAATATTTAAAGTTATGTGATTACACTTTAAATAATTAATATTATATATATATATATATCTTCTCCGCGTGAAAATATCGAATTAAACATTTAACTGAGTACTTCACATGTAGGAGGAAAATCAAAACAAATTATAATTAGTTAATTAATTAATTAATTAATACATCACTTATTTATTAGTTTGAATTATGGTGTATTAAATTGGCTTAGTTTTGTGGGTTTTACATAAAGAAACTTGAAAGCAATTTAATATGTTCTAAACCTTTCATTCTAGTGATCATTATTATTTTATAATGAAAAATTAAATTATTAACATTAACATTATTTATATATAATATGTCATAGATATTATTTAAGCCTTCAACAATGGATATTTTAAGAGTATTTATTAAATCTTAAATTACACGTGATTGAAGCTTAAATTTGATCATAATTACATTATCTTAAAAATTATATAAATGATAATTTTGATTAATTGACACATTCAGAATAAAACTTTTTATTATAGTTTATAATAACATCTTTTATATTTTTGTTATACTAATTATAGAGTAAATCATATAAAACCTTGGTATATGGTCTCTTTCTCTCCTCAATCCTGTGGACAATTTCCTTATAAAATTATTTTAAAGAACGAAAAAATTTATTTATTTAGATTTGAAAGTAATCTAAACTAACCACATAAACCCCTGATTAAATCAAATTGTAGTTCATTAAAAAAAAACTGTAAATGCCACAAGATTTACAATGTTTTACTCTCAATTTAGAATGCCATAGAAGTTCAGTCTTCAAAGTATTTAACTTCAGGGAGTGACATACATACAGAAAAGAACTTAATCGCACATAATAGATGACCTAGGTCCACGTTATTCATATTTGAATTACTTAAAAAGAAAAAAAAATAACAACTTTTGTGCATTATGTGTTTACGCAATAGTTGCCATAATCGTTCCTCCACTTCTTATTACACTGCGGAGATCCCAGTTAACCTAAAAAAATAAAAGTACAGTTACATGTACAAGTTTAGCAACAATATGTTTCTAATAAAGTTAGCAAATACAAGGACATATGCAATGACAGACAATAACAATTATATTAAACTGATGTGTCATCTTCTTAGGCACCTACATATTATTACTACAATATTACACCCCTCCTCCCCAGCAAGGTATAATAATGCATTAATGATGACAAGGGAAAAGATAAGAACAAAGTATAAATATGCATGGAGATTTAGCAAAAACACGTTAAAAGATCCAACTAAGTGTTCGTGTATTCCTTAACCATGAGTATTAACTAATTAATACTTACCCGAAACTTCAACTCCTCCATTTAAATTTGTTCTTGAGCCCTGAATTCATGCAGATCAGGTACATAGGAATATTTCATTTTAGGGCATTCCGTTAAAGTCACTTGATCAAGGGATGGGAATTTCAACTTGAACGTCCCTGAGTGAATTCCTTCTATGTTTGGCAATGATTCAAGACACAAAATTCTGAGCTGCTCAAATGCTATTTCTTCATCACTGGATTCATCATCTCCCTCTTTGGACACTATTTCCTGTATCGCTTGGCAATCCCGTACGGACATCTGCTTCAGTTGACCTAGACTCTTGGCTGTTGAGGATGTGAACAAATGTTCCAATCCATCACATTCACCGACACTCAAAGAAGTCAGATTTGAAAGAGACATGGTGGATGGCACAACAGTTTTCAGGCAAGGGCAAGAAAACACTTCCAATGTTTCTATTGTTTCAAGTAAGGGTTCTACCCATGAGTGCTCTAATCCTATGGAAATGAGCTGTTGGAGATTCTTCAAATGTAATCTTTTAAGCCTTGAAAGTACTTCGGTAAAATCAGCGCTAGGTTTTTGAGAGGAAAATATTTCATTGAAGGAACTGCAAGCCACTTCAAGTTTTTCAATGTTAGGTATTTCTTCAAGCAATCCACTGGAGAATATATTTGACTCGTCATCCTCATGATAGCACATTAGTTTCAGAACTTCTAAATTTTTCAGGAGATGTGCAGCATTTGCACCATTTTGTCCTTGTCCAATTATATTGTCTTTGCAAGTGATTGCTTGATGCTCCAAGTTAGGCATAACCTAAGAATTATGGAGCAGAAAGGGTATATATATATATATATATATATATATATATATATATATATATATATACAATGAAAAATAAATGTCACTGAAAAATAGGACAATAGTAAAAGCACACTGAGAAATTATGAAAGTTGTAAAGTTTGAGAAATTGTCCTTGCCTGGAGCTGTCCTTGCGAAATTGCCATGACGTCTTCCTTTTTGAGTGATAATTGCACCAAGTTTGGAAAAACCTAGGAATTGTTCGAAGCATATATTTGATAAATTTCACTCGTGAATAATTTATACATATAGCAGCATGCAAGCACAACATGAACATATGAAGAGGAAGTATTTTAGTACCTTTTCAACTGAGAAAATGGCTTGCTGATCCTCTACGTCTGTAACTTCACCACTCTGGTGCTCAGTTGTAAACAAATTCAACTTATCACAATGATATATATCTAGATGTGTTAGCATTGGGCACTCTAGGGAGTTTTTTCCAGGGCAGAAGTACTTGAGCTCTGGCAATTCCCATAGCGTTAATGAGGTCAGACAATGGAAATTGAACTGTTTGGTTTCTCCCTCGAAGGCTGCTTCAGCCTCCACCAAAATTTCCACCAATGTTGCACAAGATCTCACATCAAGCTTAGCAAGATTTTTGGCCACAGATGTTGGAAACAAACTTTTAAGGCTTTGACAGTTAGAAATGTACACTTCTTGTGAGTCTTGAAGGCTTAGAATTCTATCAGGATTCAGATTCCAGATATGCTCCAAATTTGGCAACTGATTTAGAATCAGTTTCTTCAAAGGAAGAGAGACCGGTTTCATATATGCTTCCGTATCTTTCACATCAAATATTGCCTTAACAGATGGACAGTTGCTTACCTCGATCTCTTTCAAGTTACATAGAGATCGTAGTATATAAAAAGGAATTACATTACATAAAGATTCACATTCCACCAAAGTAAAATATTTCAAATTATTGAAACAATTGTTTCTTGGGATTGGAACTACACCAAACCATATCTCTTCTAGGTGAGGGTGATCACCAAATTTCAAATGCTCTATATCACATGCAGACTTTTCCACCTGTAGATGCAAAGTAATTATTAATCTGAAGACCTTAACATATAAATATATTAGGGAGGGTGCTTGTAATATTCTTATTAAAACAAATGTTTAACCTATTACAAATAATGATAAAATGAATGCATATGCTTAATAAACTATAAAGTTGTCAAGAAATCTACTCCCTTATTTTTTCACAGGTTTACGTAAAATTTTGGAAAAACGACAAAAAATACTGTTTTATTTGTCAAAGAAAGATGAATACAATATAAGACATTAATCAACAAGTTTGATATTCTGCATTCACAAATTCGATAATTTGAAGAATAATTTTCAAATGACCATTATAATTTTACATATCTGTCCTTTTAGTAAGAACAATGTTAGTATTTTAGGAAGAATAGGAAAAATAGTTTGATGTTTAGTAGTGAGATTTGTGTAAAAAATAGTTTTTAGAAAAAGGTGGACAAATAGGAGAAGGTTTATATGAGGAAAGATAGTAATTGATCTTGGAAGTGCTACAAAATATGCAAGAACTTGTATTAGATTTTTTTCATTCATACAAAGACTCCCTTCATGCCTATTTATAGGCTTTACTTACAAGATTATATATTTTTCTACTAATTTTATTGTTTCTACACTATTCTATTTCTACACATTTCTTCTTTTTCTTTTCTTTTTCTAGAATCATGTTGTAGCTTCTATTAGTACACATATCTTTTCTACATAATTCTAGAAGTTCTACATAATTCTAGATTTTCTTAACTCTAGAATTATCTATTTTCTACTTTCAAATATTTCTAGAATCTTCTAAGGATTCTAGATATTACTCATATGAAATTCCTAATTCTAGTAACATTTAGGATTTTATATTATAGATCTTTCTAGAATTTGTATCATCTTTCAACACTCCTCCTTGATGCAAATTCCTGTAACTCCAAACATGAAACATAATTGTTCAAAATTGGTTTTTGATAGTGTCTTGGTAAATATTTTTGCAATTTGATCTTCTGTAGTACAGTACTCAAGTTGAATTTGTTTAGTCGCTTCAGCCTCTCTGATAAAGTGATATTTAATAGCTATATGTTTTGTTCTTTGATGATGAACATGATTTTTCGTCATTGTTATTGCTGATTTGTTGTCGCAATAGATAGTAGTTGGTCCATCTTGTGGTTCGCCCATTTCTTCAAGTATTCTTCGTAGCCATATTGTTTGACTTGTAATTTCAGCAGCAACTACGTATTCTGCTTCTGCTGTTGATTGTGCCACAATTACTTGTTTCTTAGATGCCTAAGAGAAAAATCTTAATCCAAGTGAGAAGGCGTATCCTGACATACTCTTCATGTCGTCTATTGATCCTGCCCAATCACTGTCGGTGTAGCAAATCATTCTTGAGTTGGTCATGGTCTTGTACCATATACCAAACTCTTTTGTGCCTTGCATATACCTTAAAATCCTTTTTCTTGCTCCATAGTGAATCTGACTTGGCTTTTGTATGAATCTTGACAGAAGACTTGTAGCATACATAATGTCTGATCGTGTAGCTGTGAGATATAGAAGGCTTCCGATCAAACTCCTGTATCGTGATACATCTACTTCTGGTGCTCCATCATCTTTCTTTAGCTTTTCGTTTACCACTAAAGGGATAGCGAAATGTTTACATCCGTACATCTTGAATATCTTTAGTAGAGCTTCAGTATATTTCTTCTGAGAAATATATATTCATTCTTTTTGTTGTATCACCTCTATCCTTAGGAAGTAGTTCATCAAGCCAAGATCAGTCATTTCGAATGTTTTCATCATATCTTCTTTAAATTCTTTCATCATCTCCTTATTGTTTCCTGTATAGATGAGATCATCAACATATAAGGAGACAATGAAATTATACTAACATTGTGTCTTGATATAAAGTGTTGGTTCACTCTTGCTCCTCCTGAATCCTTGATCGATAAAATATTTATCAATTTTGTTATACCATGCTCGAGGAGCTTGCTTCAGGCCATATAGAGATTTTCTTAGTCTTAGTACTTTTCCTTCGTGGCCTTTGTTGATAAAGCCTTGTGGTTGCTCAACATAGATATCTTTTTCAAGAGTTCCATTGAGAAAGGCGGATTTGACATCCAGTTGATGGATGTTCCAACCTTTTTGTGCAACAAGGGCTATTAAAGCTCTAATTGTATCCAGGCGAGCAACTGGAGCAAAAGTCTCATTATAGTCGATTCCAGGTTGTTGTGAGTATCCTTTTGCGACTAATCTTGCCTTATATTTTTGTATGGTTCCATCAGGGTTGAGCTTAGTTTTATATACCCATTTTACTCCAATGATATCTTTTCCGTGAGGACAGTCCACAAGCTCCCAAGTATTATTCTTCTCAATCATTTTGATTTCTTCTTCCATGGCCTTGACCCATCATAGCAGGAAGACCCAATGATGGCCATGTTACAAGTTTCATATATATATCTACCAAAGATCTTACACGTCTTGGTGTAGACTCTGGTGAAGTATATTCTTCTTCTTCTTGTGGAGGTGGAGAAAACGTACCTGGATCTCTTGTTTCTTCTTCAGGTTGTTGTATTGGAACTAGAATGTTGCTTCTAACAACTTTTTCTTCTTCCCAATTCCAAAAAGCATTTTCGTCAACCTCAACATCTCGATTGATGACAAGTTTCTTTGTTTGTAGGTTATAGACTCGATAGCCTTTTGATTGTTGGCTTTATCCCAAGAATATTCCTCTTATAATTTTGTCTTCAAGCTTATGCCTCCTTTGACCAGGAACATGTATGTAGCAAATTGATCCAAATATTCGTAGGTGTTTAGCTGATGACTTTCTTCCACTCCAAGATTCAATAGGAGTCTTGTTTTGGAATACCTTAGTTGGATATCTATTTAGTATATATACAGCAGTGTAAACTGCTTCTGCCCAAAACGTATTTGACAAGTCTTTCTCCTTCAACATTGATCTTGCCATCTCCATGACAATGCGATTTTTTCTCTCCGAGACACCATTCTGTTGTGGAGAATATTCGACTGTAAGTTGTCGCTCAATACCTTCATCCTCACAGAATTTATCAAATTTGTGGGAGGTGTACTCTTTGCCTCGATCGCTCCTGAGCATCTTTATCTGTTTTCCACTTTGCTTTTCGACAAGGGCCTTAAATTTCTTGACTATTCTAAAGACTTTTGATTTTGCTTTGATGAAGTAGACCCAAGTCATTCTAGAAAAATCACCAATGAAGAGATTGAAGTACCTGTTGTTATTAAGCGATGAAGTCCTCATCGGTCCGCAAATATCTGTGTGGATTAACTCCAACAAGTCTTTTGCTCTCCAAGTATTTCCCGTAGAAAATGGTAATCTGTGTTGCTTTCCCAGAAGACATCCTTCACAAGTTTCGCTACTCTCCTTAAGGCTTGGTAGATCTCTCATCATGCCTTTTTGATGTAGTAGCTTTAAGGCATGAGTATTGAAGTGACCAAATCTACGATGCCATAACCACAGGTCATCAACTTCTACTTTCATGGCAATGTTAGTTCTTCGATTGAAGCTTATAGGAAAACTTCTATTTCACTTTTCCATTTTTACTTGGTCAATCTCTAGATTTTTCTTATCATAGATAGTGCATGTATCTCTTTCGAAGTGAAGAGTATATTCTTTCTCCATCATTTGACTAATACTTAAAGGATTTTCTTTAAGATTGGGAACTAATAAGACATCATTGATAAGTCTCATACCTTTCTTGGCCTCCACCATAACACTGCTTTTTCCTTTTGACTCTACCACAATGTCATTTCCCAATCACACTTGAACTTTGATGGAGTTATCAATTTCTTTGAAGATGCTTGGATCATTCGTCATATGGTTACTACACTCGCTGTCCAAGTACCATCTTCCTTTTGATTCATTGTCAAAACATCCCGTAGCATATAAGAGATGTTGTTCTCTGTCCCGTTCTTCGGAAAAATTTGCTTGTTGATGATTTTTGTTGCGACACATTTTCTCTACATGTCCAAATTTATTACAGTATTGACATTGAGGTTTTCCTCGATGCCAACAATTTTTTTTCCAAGTGACTTGTCTTTTTGCAAGTGCCACATGGAGGATATTTTCCTTGAATAGTCTTGGAAAAATTTCTAGATTTTTCCTTATTCCTAAAAAGTTCTCTATTACTTTTATTTATTCCATTTTGAGACCATAATTTTAGTTTTGATTGAAAGACATTTTCGACTGAGTCTTCTTCACGCCTTTTTAATCTTTGTTCATATATATGCTTTAAGAGAGCCTATTAGTTGTGTCACTGATAATGTAGATAAATCTTTTGTTTGTTCAATTGCAGTTGCAATTGCATCATATTTTTGGGGAATAGAAATTAGAATTTTCTCAATAATTTTCTTATCAATAATATTTTCCCCATAGGCTCTCATCTGACTAACTATTTCTTTTATTCTAGAATAGTAGTATTTTATGGTCTCAGATTCATTAATTCTTATTAACTCAAATTCTCTTCTTAGAGAATGAAGTTGAATATTACGTACCTCATCACTTCCTTGAAACTCCTCCTGAATTGTATTCCAAACTTTCTTTGCACTTGTGGCACTCATTATTCTTGGAAAAATAGTGTCATCAACTATTTGCTGAAGAGTGAATAATGCCCTTGAATCCTTTTATTTGTTTTCCTTCAGCTCCTTCATCTGGAAAGTTGTAAGAGTTGAGATGTCTTATAGAATAGTGAATTCATCTTCTATGACGTCCCAAAGATCTTGAGAACAAAAAAATGTCCTCATTTTGACTCTCCAAAAATCATAATTTTCTCCCTTGAAAATAAGGATTGGAATGGATGATGTTTGGTTAGTAGTGGTCATAGGTTGAAATTTTTCTTTTGGAAGTAATGTGTAGTGGGATTAGGTTTTTTTAAGGTAGTCAAAAAGTTTTCTCTACGCCTAGTAGGTGACCGAACGTAGCTCTGGTACCACTGTTAGTATTTTAGGAAGGATAAGAAAGATAATTTGATGTTTAGTAATGAGATTTGTGTAGAAAATAATTTTTAGAAAGAGATGGACAAATAGGAAAATGTTTGTACGAGGGAAGATAGTAATTGATCTTGGAAGTGCTACAAGATATGCAGAAGTTTGTATTAAATTTTTTTCATTCATACAAAGACTCTCTTCATGCCTATTTATAGGCTTTATTTATAAGATTTTAGAATTTTCTATTAATTTCATTGTTTTTACATTATTCTATTTCTACATATTTCTTCTTCTTCTTTTCTTTTTCTAGAATCATGTTGTAGCTTCTACTAGTACACATATATTTTCTACATAATTCTAGAAGTTCTACATAATTCTAGATTTTCTTAACTCTAGAATTATCTATCTTCTACTTTCAAACATTTTTAGAATCTTCTAAGGATTATAGATATTACTGATATGAAATTCCTAATTCTAGTAACATTTAGGATTTTATATTCTAGATCTTTTTAAAATTTGTATCGTCTTTCAACAAAGAGTCAAGACAACTTGTTGAACTGAAGTGAAGAATTCAATTTAACATTATGAGCACCATGTGTTAGGCAACACGTATAGATATAATACAAAAGCATTCACATTGTAGGATTATTGGGTCATGAGGACATGATATTAGAGTCCTTGTGACTAGATAGAAGTGAATTATTGTTGTCCCAGTCCTTATTATAAAAGAAAAAAAGTTACATTTCGTAAAAGCTAGATCGATTTGAGCATCATATTCACACTTAAATTATGCCGAAAGAGCTCTTGAAGGAAAGGAAACAGTGCATAATCATAAAACCAATCATGTGGGGCATATTAGAGATGTAATGTTAATAAAACCATTGAGTCATATGTCTTAAGCTAAGAAAAATAAAATCTTAAAAATATTAATTCGTATGTCTTTACTACCAGCAATACAGATCTTTTAAAATGTTAAAACTAAAATTGTGAAAAAAAGACCAAAGTTACATAACTACACCATATCATAAAAACATGCAGCAAATGAATTAGGATAGCGAAATCCTAACCTGTTTCTGAAACAACCTCTTGAATGTCGTGTTCAGTTCGTCCTGGAAGAATAAATTAGAATCCTTCAATGATGTTTCAATCCCCAAAAACCTTGGCGCTTTTAGGATTCCTTTGGAGAACGTTTTCATATTGGGGCAATTACTTACATTTGCCTTTTCCAAACATGGAAGTTGCAAAGTGGCATTTCCTGAATAAAATCTTTCTAACCGAGGTAAGGAATTCATCCTTAATGTTGTGAGCCGTCCAAATATGACATCATCATAACCATCCTCATTTTCATCTTTTGCTATTTCTTTTATTGATTCACAATTCTCTATATCTAGGGTCTCAAGTTGCACCAAGCTTTTGGCAGTTGAAAATGTGAATAAATACTTCATCCTTTCACAGAACCTCACCACCAACTTTTTCAAATGGATGAAAGAAACTGCACAACACCCTAAGTTTTCTAACCGAGGGCAGCTGCGAAGTTTTAATATTTGAAGATTTTCAGAGTATGGCTTTACCCATGGGTGCTCGAACCCTATCGACTCAAGCTCATTCAGTTCAAATAGGAATAATTTTTTCAATGGCGAAGGAATTCCATCATGAGCTTGAGACGGAAATATCTCCCTGAGACCAAAGCATTTCTGCACTCGAAGATGTTCTATTCTGGGTACCTTGTGAAAGAAGTCAAAAGGCAAAGTTTCTTTCTCATTGTTATCATCCTCAAAGCATAGCCGAAGAAGATTTAATTTGCAGAGGTAGTCTTGTGGCACATGTGCATCGCTCAACAACATAATGTTTTCCTCATTCAGTGTCAATCCCTTCAGTTTGGGAACAACCTAGCAGGGCCAAACAAATTCAAGAGAAAATACACAGTGGTAGTTAGAAGGAGGAAAACTGAAAAGTCTACAATCAAAAGAAAAGCAGCCAAAAAAAGTTTAACTGTTAATGTTGTAATTAACCTTTTCAACCATGAATAGAGGTTGTTGTAAGCAGCTTATTGGAGCCTCTATAACTGCTTCGTGGTTATCATGAATCTCTGATGTGAATATCTTCAACTTGGAACAGTAAGCTACATGTAAGATTTCCAATCTGGGGCATTCTATAGTGTGTTTTTCCGGATAAAAGCAACTAAGAAGTGTCAGGTTATAAAGAGTTAGCCTGGACAAACAAGGGAATTTAAACATTACTGTCGTTCCATGTTCCATTGCATCTTCCTTTCCAACTATTTCTACCAATTTCTCACACTCTTTTATTTCAAGTGTCTCAAGCTTCTTAAGATTTTTGGCAAGGGATGAAGAGAACACTGTTACCAAGTTTCCACAGCCATTAACAAACACTTTTTGCAAATTTGGAAATCTGACAATTCCTTGGGGATTTTTGTTCCATACACGTTTCAAATTTGACAAGTCTTTTAGAGTAAGCTTTTTCAAATGAAAGACAATATCTTTGGTCTTGGCCTGGCTGTCATCCATACCAAATATTACCTGCACCTCATCAGAGCTATGTACATTCAATTCTTCTAAGCTCTTCAAGTGAGAAAGTACATGAGATGGAATCACAATATCTCTTTTACTTGCTCCATCCACTTCCATCATCTTTAAATTGTCAAAGAAATTTTCTGGGAAAGCAGGTTTGACGGGTCCAACTCCCCTCGTCTCAAGATAATCCTCTAGAATCATACGCTTTGTATATTCGAAGAAAACCTTCAAACCACAAAACTCAACGTTAGAATATTTGACAAGTCTCATATGACTCATTAATTTACATATATGCAATAATCTTGTATTAATTTTTCTTTTGTATTTTGAATTAATTTGTGTGAGCTTACTATATATTGTTTATGTAATATTTTTATGTTATAAAACAAAATTAGCTAATATATAACAATTAAAGTGAGAGCATACTGAAAAATATATTTAATTTACCTTTGGTAATAGGCAATTTGTTCAATTTTTTAAATTTAATAATAATAATAATAATAATAATAATAATAATATATAAGAAAAAAAAGAAAGATGTTTTGAACTCAGAATATAATTCGAAAAAAGGAAGCATGAAGAGAGTAAAAGTAAAAATTATAAAACATTTATGGACAAAATATAACCCTCTTTGTTATACCTAAATAAATAACAAGTCATTTGTTAATGAATTTTTTACCTGCTGATGGAACAAACTCTCAGTTGTCATGTTGAGATCATTGAGGAAGGTTAGATCAGAATCCGCCATAGAATATTTAACACCGCAAAAAATTGGCGCATTTATGTCTGCTTCACAGAAAGTTTTCATATTGGGGCATTTAGATAGTCTCATTATTTTCAAAGATGAGAATTGCAAAGTGGCATTCCCTGAATAAAAGCTTACAAGACTTGGTAAGGAATAGAGCCATAAGTTTGTGAGCCGTCCAAATATGATCTCATCACAACCATCTCCATCTTCTTTTTTTGTTACTTCTTTCATTGACTCACAATTCCCTACATGTAGAGTCTCAAGCTGCAGCAAACTTTTGGCCGTTGAAAATGTGAATAGATACTTCATACTACTACAGTTCTTCACAACCAAATACTTCAGATTGATGAAAGAGGCAGTAAAACTCACTAATTTGTCTAACCGAGGGCACTCAACAAGTGATAACACTTGAAGCTTTTCAGAGTATTGCTTTACCCATGGGTGATCCAACCCTATCGACTCCAGCTCAAGAAGACTCTGCAGGGTTAATTCATTCAATCCAACTAGTATTCCATCATGATCATCGATTTTTTCAGAGGGAAATATCTCCTTGAGACCAAAGCATCTAGACACTCGAAGATGTTCTAGACTGGGTACCTTGTGAAAGAAGTCAAAAGGCAAAGTTTCTTTCTTAATTTTATCATCTTCAAACGACAGGTCAAGATAATTTAATTTTCGAAGGAGGTCTGCTGGTGAATGTCCATCGTTCAACAAGATGATGTTCTTCTCATTGAGTGTCACTCGCTTCAGATTCGGAAAAACCTAGCAATGTCAAATGAATTCAATTGAAAGAGGAAAATAATGAAAAGAAAAGGAAACGAGAACATTAAATGCTAATATGCTTTGTCACCTTTTCAATAGAGAATAGAGGTTGTTGTCCCAGACTATGATGAAATTCTGATGTGAATAGCTTCAACTTACGACAGTAGGCCACGTATAATGTTTCTAAGATGGGGCATTTCAGATGGTGTTTTTCAGGATAAAAGCAAATAAGTTGTGGCATACTCCAAAGTACCAACATCGACAAACAAGGAAATTCAAACATTTCAGTTGTTCCATGTTCCTTTTCCTCTTCCTTTTCAACAATTTCTATCATCTTGTTACAGTTTTTTACATCAAGTGTCTTAAGCTTCCCAAGATTTCTGGCAAGAGTAGAAGGGAACAGTTTTACCAAGGTTGCACAACCAGAAACAAATACTTCTTGCAAATTGGGAAAAGTGACTATTCTTCGAGGGTTTTTGTTCCATACACAGTTCAAATTTGACAAGTCTTTTAATGTAAGCTTTTTCAAACGAAAGAGTATTCCCTTGGTCTTTGCCTCAGTGTGATCGATGTCAAATATTACCCGTGCTGCTTTGCAGCTCTCTACATTCAATTCTTCTAAGTTCTTCAAGTAAGGTAGTACATGAGATGGAATTACAATTTCTCTTTTACTTTCTGCATCAAATTCTAATTTCTTTAAACTGCCAAAGAAATTGTCTGGAAAAACAGGTTTGCCGTGGCGAACTTCGTTCATCTCAGGATAATCCACTAGCTTCATAGACTTTGAATGCATGAAAGACACCTTAAAATGTGAAGACACTCATCGTTAGAATATGCGAGGAAATTATGTATAAGAAAAAAAAATTTAAGTTTGCTTACAAAAGTAATATCTTTAGGTACTCCGAAATGGAAAGCAAACTTTTGGCCTGGCCTATTTTTGTTTACAAACATATTTTATTCGTTCACAAAACTTGAAATTGGTTAACAATAAAAGTAATCTAGTAAGTGTCATAACATGTGTTCCTTAAAATATCAAAAAAACTTTTATTCATCCACTCCTATATTATACTTTTTACTAGACTGTATGAGACACTTTTTTTTTTTTTTTTGGCATTTAAATGCTACAACATACAATAATAGTGTTTTTCAGTATTACATAGTTTCCCAATTGTAGAATATTTTGTTACCAAAGTTTTAAATAAAATGAAAAATAATTATATGTAAATGTGGAGAGGTGCATATGATATTAAAATTTGTGATAATTAATAATTATTATGATGCGCACCTGATTTGTGAAATGTTTTTGTAGAGTTGCATTCAAATCACCTTCCCAGTACCATTTCTCTTTTTCTCCTGCCACAACATGTACTTTTTGTAGGTTTGGAGTACTTTGAACTTTAGAGAAGATTGTCATGTTAGGGCATTCACTCACTACTAAATTTTCCAGTAGTGGAAATTTTAAGTCACACTTATCGGCATTCAAGAAACTTTTGAGATTTTGTAGACACACCAACTCTAATGATCTTAACTGTTGAAACTCAATCTCTTGCACTTTCTCATCTTCATTTTCTGCAACGATTTCCGTCATCATTGGGCAGGAACTTGCTTTCATAGTTGTGAGTTGAACCAAGGTTTTAGCAGTTGAAGATGTCATTAAATTCCTCATCCATCCACAGTTTATAACTTCTAAATATGTTAAGTAACTAAAAGATACCGAGGATGACGCTAAGTTTTTCAATTTTATACATCCTTCAATGGTTAAGCGTTCTACCCTTTGAAGAAGCACGTCATGCTCAAAGCCAATCTCCTCTAGAGACCACATGCTTTTTAATATCAACCTTTCAAGTTGCATAACAACTCCTATTTTTTCACGTGAAACAAGACTGGCAGGAGCCCAAATCCTTTTCAAGTGACAAGATCCTAATGTTAGAATTTTCAAATTGGGAAGTCTACAAAGAAACCAAAAGAGAATTTCAGCATTCTTCAACCCGTGCAACACAACTGATTGCAGTTTGTGCATTCTGTGAACACTAACATTGTATTTCTGCAACCACTCTGCTTCCTTCAAGCTCATAGCCATACGTTCCAAGTTGTATATCACCTAAAAAATATATAAATGAAAAAATTATCAATATCAAAGCACACTTGGAACCATAATTTCATCATGATATTTAATGTTATTTTTTACAAGAAATAAAGAACTTATTCTCACGTCCTTCGGTGAGAGGTTCATAATTAATGCTTTTTGTTATCTACCTTTCCTGTAGCCAAAACAAATGGCTTCACTTGTGAGCTTGAGATTTCTGTAGTGAACCCTTCCATCTTACAACATTCTACTATCAACAATTTCTTCAATGATGGCCACTCTAATGTATGAGTTCCTCGGTATAAACTCACAAGTTGATTTAATGATTGTAATGATACAGTGTTTAGATGAGGAAACTTAAAAGTGATAGAATTTTCACTTGAACCTTTGTCCCAAGCAACAATCTCTTTCATTGCCCTGCAGTTCCATAAGTTAAGGACTTTCATTTTTTCTAGATCACTGGTAACAGAAAGTGGAAAGAGATATTTTAAGTTAGGACTTCCAACAACTCTTATGATTTCAAGATTATTATATTTAAGTATTTCGGTGATGCCATCCTTCCATAGGCTCACTAAATTTGGCAGCTCTCGTAGAAGTATGTTTTGCAAGTTTGATTCATTTCTATCGCAAGTTTGTGGAATATTTGCAAAGTCAAATATGTTTTCCACTAACTTGCAATTAGTAATGGTCAAGTTTTGAAGACTCTGAAGTCTTTGCCCCATAAAACTAGGAAAAATCGTTACAAGATTGTGGCACTCTGTTATCATCAAAGAGTCTAAACTGCGAAAGGATCCTAGACCGAAATGGGGTTGCCAAATGGTAGTGAGTTTCTCCATGCAGATGATCTCCATTTTCTTCAACTTCTGAAACACATCATCAATATTCGGCTACAATAAAAAGTAGTTGTTAGATGAGCAATTAGTGAGAATCAAAGTCAATATTAGATGAATCCGCATACCTCAGCATCTTCCGGACGAAATATATCCTTCATCATTTCACATTTGCTGATGGAAAGGCTTTGGAGATTCACCAAACTTCCAGCCACGGAGAATGACAGCAAATATTTCAAATTACCGCAATCTGTCACATTTAATGTAAGCAAATTTTGAAAACAATGATGAGATTGGTCACTCCATATCTTCTGGATGTGGATCGAAGATAACTCCAACCATTCTAATTTTGGAATTGAAACCTGTAAAAAACAGATAATGAGTTAGTTAATGTCTCAACAGTAAGGTTTTGATTTACAAATATTGATTTGTCCAAGAAAAACGACGAGACTTAAATGAGCATGACCTTTTACATACCTTTTCATTGAATAGTGAAAGGCATGAATTGGTGGCATCTTGCTCAACTTCAGTGATTATATCTTTGTTGCTGTTTAGCCCTTTGTCTTCCAATGATTGTGCACTACAAGACATCTTATCATTGGCATACAAACAAGTAAATGTTGGTAAAGATTTTAATGTTAAGCGTCGTAACTGAGGAAACTCAATATTGTCATAACTGTTAGTATGAGTTTCTCTTTCAACAGAAACTATTTCCTTTAAAGAATCACAATCACACACTTCAATTGTTTCAAGCAAGGTGAGGAGTCCGACAATGGAGGATTGGACAAGGTTCTCCAATTTATCACACGCTTTAATCTTGATAAGTTTTAATCTGGAGAAAGAGGCATCTAGAAGTTGATTGTCACATATTTTCTCCAAATTGTCCAGATTGTAAAGATACAACGACTCCAATTTGGGAAAAGCCAATAACGGGTGGAACCGTTCCACTGAGTTAATAATATATTGAATGCCAAAATTGCTTACAATGGATAAATGTTTCAAATTGGGAAATCCATCAACATTTAATTCATAGAAAACATCATGAACATCGATGTGTTTGCCCAGAAGCAAATATTCGACACTTTTGAACAACATTTTAACCCATATTTCAGAATGAATGTCAATACCTTCTTTTAGGTTCAATACCAAAAGTTTCACCATTTCATACTTGTCAGGGATTTCGAATTCTCCATCTGTGAGTATGTTGAGTTTTCCAATGACAATTTTGTAGCTATCCAACTTATCAAAAAACAAGTTCGGCGGAACAAGGGCAACACTCTGAATGTGTATGTCTAGGTTTCGTAGCTGATTCAAGTGCCTCAACTCAGAAAGACTGGCGTTTTGACTTTGAATATTCCCCTCGGCCTCCCAGAGAATCAAGCTGTCTCTCATATAAATTTCTTCCAAAATGTTCAACCTTGATATGACATTGGAAGGTATTACTCTTAGTTTTGAGCAATTGCTTACGTCAAGAAGTTGCAGTTTATCTAATTGCCCGAATTCAAAGGGAAAACTTTCAATGTCAGATCCTGAAAGAGTAAGAATTCGTAATTTCTTTAACTCTCCAATGATTGATAAGTTCTGTCCCAGAGTGCACCTCTCCAAACTAAGCATTCTTAGTTTTGTCAAGCATGTAATTGAAGAAGGTATGCACGGCAGATTAACACCAGTCAATATCAAGACTCTCAGTTCAATCATGTCTTTGAAAAAGTCATCTGGTATTTTCAAAAAATGATCTTTACTGTCAATATGGAAGACTTCAAGTCTAGGACAATAGATACTCCCAGGAAGATCGTCATTGATATGACAATAGTGCAAAAAAACAGCAGTGTACCTCTCAAGTTCATCTTTGTGAGGCCACTCATCGAGTATGCCGTTCTTCATAAAAAGTATATGCTTTTCTTTGGGTGCTATTGAAAGAGCAACGTCACGCACAATATCATGCATATTGAAGCGATCGCTTGAGTAACTATCCTCCACCAAAGTTGATTCTTTTAACTCTTCTATCAACATATTTACTTTATTTCTGGCTTCTCTAATTGTGTGGACTCCTTGTAGCAGACCCAAACCAATACAAAACTTCACCAAGTCCATAATCAAAGCATCATTTCCCATTCTTGCACAATGTAAAAAAATACACTTGAGCTGCTCAGTTTTTAGATGATCATAGCTCAGCTTTATAGAGAACTCGACAGTGTCATGTCCTTCTGTAAAACTTTGTTTTTTAATTTGTTGATTGACATCCTCCCATACAAAGGAGTTCTTATTCTTTAGTGCCCTTCCTAAGGAAACTAATGCTATTGGCAAACCATCACACGCTCTTGCAATTTCAATGGCTTTCTCATCATACTCAAAATTTTGCTCGTGTATTCCCGCCACTTTCTTAAGCAAAGTCTTAGCCTCATTTTCATCAAGAACTCCAACCGAGAAAGTTGATCTCTCCTGCACATCCATTTGATTACATAATACTTGTTTTCTTCTCGATGTCAGAAGAATTTTGCAGCTTTTGTGATCGTGAGATATCTTTTCTTTTATCATCTTATTGAGATCGGAAGATAACTCTTCTTTTTCAATCTTATCATAACCAGAATCAGATATATCATTGACATCATGTTGGCTTCCATCATCTTCATCACTGCATGCAATCCCCAATCTATTCAAGTCCAATCCATCCCATAGATCATCTAGAATTATAAGGGTGTTCTCCTTTTCTTTCTTTAACCTCTTTCGAATGCGATCTGCTCTTACGATCTCACTTTCCTCTTCCAATCTCATTCCTAACATCTCAGCAATTTGTCCTTGAATTTTTTGTATGTTAGGATTTCTTGTTATATTTGCCATAACCACCACATTGAACAACTTCTTTTCTTGAGCTTTCGTAGCAACTTCTTTGACTAAAGTTGTCTTGCCGACACCACCGGCCCCATAAATGCCAATCATATTAACAGTAGAGTCTTCCAGTGCTTGCATAAGCATATCCATAGTTTTTGTTCTTGATGCAAAGCTTTCATAGCCACTGTTTGCCAAAGCAGCACCAATGCCTGGAAGCACTCGATAGGAAACTTCATCGAACCTTTTATTCCAAAGTTCTTCTGCTTTCATTTCCTCTACTATCTTTGTAGCATTCCTGCCTAATCGATACCTCAACTGCAAGTTATTTGGAAAGAAACCAATGGAACATCTTGTCTTTGAATGATGTTCATCATGAATGAAAAGTTCATATTTTTTTATCTTCTCATCCATCTGTTTTAAGCAATGTTGAACGTCATCTTCAATGTCCTCTGCATTCATATCTGCATTATTAACTTGATGCTGTATCCTTTTGCGGGTATTATCCAGCATCTCAATGTAAGATTTCAGCTCTTCAAATTTGTCATTGTAATTAAAAAAGTAGCCCAACTGTCGTTTCACTACACGTCCTGCAATTTGCAGTGCATTTTCAGTAGTCGTAGAGACAACTGTTTCCATGCTTTCTTGACACCTTCTCGGTTTATTGGTTCCTACTTAGGCTATTATTATTTTTTCCTGAATATGCAAATGCAAATTTTCAAATTTTATAACTTATAAGGGAACCAATACATAAAGCATTAAGTAAATAGAACTGATAAAAGCTGATGCAATGTGTGGAAAGTTGATCTAAGAAAATCTTCGAAAGTTGTAAATGTTAAAAAAGCTGGAGTGCTGCCTATAATTAGGCTACCTACATGATATTGTATCATAATCAGTTATGTAAGCAAATAAGCTAATTTTTTCAACAATTACACATCACAATCTACTTGACAAATAACAATGAGCCTTTCAAATATGTGGATTTGGACCTGAAATTTAGGATAATAAACGATGTCACATAGTTATGAAATTAGTGCTTTAAAATATTGTTCAGATATTAATAGTAATCTTAATTTTCACTTCCCATTTACCCTGTATTACTTTTTATCATTAGCTAGGTTGACAAAACTGCTTTTAAGAGATGGTATCCTAAAGAGGATGGTGCAATAATATTATGGCTTTCTGATTTTGTGTGCGAATATACAGAGAAGGAGCCTAAATAACCTAACATTGTTGTGTGTATGTTTTGCTGCCAGGAAAAAAATATAAATGCAATCAAATAAGTCACATCTATTGAAGTTCTTAAATTCTGACCAACGATTGGTGCCTGGTCGGAGGGTGCTCGTAAGGAGAACAATGTTGAGCCCACTTCATTCAGTGGAGCAGCATGATGGTGTTCTAATCCACATAATCAATATATTTAACTTATTTATTTTTTGTTGTGGGGATGTTAACGCATGTAAACAAAGAGAATACAACTGCTATACTTTCCATGCCCTGTTTACTATTTTGATTGGCACGAATGAGATAAATCATGAATATCAATGCCATTAATTTCAAAGATATATATTCAATGGTGAATATGTGTTTTATAGATTGAAGCCTTTTCATAGAATTTAATATAATACCCAGAATGGGAGATTGCTTATTTTTCTTGTTATAAAAGAAACACAATATGTATCTTTTAAATCACCCTAAATCTCTTCATTCTTCTTTCTATTAGTGCATTATATAATAGTTGAGTCTCTTATTTATAAGAGAAAATATTATTATTTTCTTCTTAAATTTAAAAAGGGTATTATAAATTTCTTCCAGTAGTAAAATTCTATTATTCCCTTTTGTCGATTTTGTTCCTCTTTTCTCATTTTTTATTTTAGTTTTGAGTTCTTTTGCAGTTACTTTGATTTCTTATTTATGGTATTATTTCACCGCTTATTATGATATTATTTCGGTGCTAAAGGTTAGTTTCTTATTTATAATATTATTTTACTATTATAGTCATTAGAATAGTGTTGGAAAAAATTCTTAGTATGTTTTGTGTCTGATTTCTAACAGTGGTATTAGAGCCGATGGTTAGTTTCTTATTTATAATATTATTCCGTTGTTTTCTCATTGTGAAAACTGAAGATGAAAGCAATTTTTGTGAGTATCACAGTTTAAAGGTAAGAAGAAATTAACAACAACACTATAGTAAATTTGTAGAAAAGGGTATAAAGAAGGAGATTTGAGAGTCCCTCGTCAAATTGTATCAGGAGGAAACACATATTGGACTTGGTTTATTATGATTTGTTAGAATATTATCCCTATGACACATATTGGACTTGGTTTATTATGATGTGTTAGAATATTATCCATATGAGGGGGGCAAATATTTTGTTCTAGTGATGACAATGATTACTCTAAGAGATTATGAGTGTACTGCATCAAGGGGAAGTCTGTGTTTTCAAAGTTTGGGAAAGATAAATTTTTGGATTATGCTAACAATGTGAAGGGGTATTTTCTATGTATCCCACTATCCATAAGGTTTTTGTTAGCTGTAATACACATATTTTTCTTCAAGGTGAACTTAGATAAAAGATTGGAGTGCTCCAACTAGAAAACTTAAAGAAAAATGAAACTTGCTTTGTAGGTTGTCCAAATCTCTATATGGTTTAAACTGGGTGTCTAGGTGTACAAAAGATTTGATTATTCATGATTAGTCTTGATTACAACAAACTAAGTTCAGACTATTATACCTATTACAATAGATTTTATGAGAATGATTTTATCATTTTGTCGTTGTATGTGGATGACATGTTGGTGGTAGGCTCCAACAAAGTTCGAATCCAGGTTTTGAAGACACAGTTGGCTAAGAAGTCTAATATGAAGAACTAGAGACTAACAAACAAGATTTTAGGGATGTAATTCACTGGATATAAACGATAGGAATGTTTGTCTTTATCAGAAGAATTACTTAATGAAGATCTTGCATTGTTTCAATATGCAAGGGTGTAAGCTAGTTTTTACCCCATTTTCTATCAAGTTATCCTTAAGTATGAGTCCTAGCAATAAAACAGAAAGGATAGAAATGTCTCGAGTATTGTATGCATTGATAGTGGGAAGTCTTATTAATACCATGATCGGTATAAGTAGTGGTGGAGAGCATAAGTTTTATTAAGAGAATTCTTATCAAAGGATATTGTATTATGTTTCAGAAGATCAAAACTAGTTGTCAGATGCTATGTTTGTTCAAGTTTTGTAAGTGATCTTGATGAGTTTACCTTTGGATAGACAATAACTAGTTAACCAAGTTATAGGATGTTGTAGCTCTATCAATTACTGAAATTGAGTACATGGAAACCACCCAGACATGTAAGGAAGCTATTTGGATTAAGAGGATAATGGAGGAACTCAGACATAAACAGTACAAAATTGTTGTGTATTATGACAGTTAGAGTACCTTGCACATTGCAAGGAATCCTGCCTCGTATTAAGGATAAATCAAGAAGAACCTAACAGATGTTATGACATACGGTTAGCAGTGACAAGTTTACATAGAGACAATCCTATTAAAGGTCTATTGCAATAACAACATGGAAAACAATAATAATGTATTGTGAAGATTTGATTAATTTAATCAAAATCTTTATTGTGAAGATTTGATTAATTTAATCAAAATCTTTAAGTGAAATACTGTGACAATGTGAAAGATAAGTCCTACATCAGAAAAATTATATGTTGGTGCTTATTTTTCTTGTTATAAAAAGAGCACAATGTCTATATTTTAAATCACTCCAAAACTCTTCCTTCTTCTTTTTACTAGTGTATTGCATAATAGTTGAGTCTCTTATTTCTAAGAGAGAATATTATTATTGTTTTTTCCTTAAATTTAAAAAGGGTATTGTAAATTTCTTTCGATAGTAAAATTTTATTATTGCATATTCTCGATTTTATTTCTCTTTTCTCATCTTTTATTTTAATTATTAGTTCTTATGTAATTACTCTGATTCCTAACAACTGGCTAGGTCATGGATCACCTATGAAAGTGTAAATTAAGTCCAAGGCAAAGTTTTCAGTTTTGTCTCTCAACTTCTCCATAAATAGACTAAACTGTTTTCAACAAAATAAGGATTCTATATGTGGGTTCTGTTCAATGTTACAGGGGATATCATAGTAGGAGTTATTATGATTGGTCCTTTTGTAGATCTGGATAGAATAGGAATTGGGTAATACTTTTATAGGTATTAAGTGTTGATGTTCTAGCTACGAATCAAGGAATTATTGGAGCTCATTGGTATGCCTTTAATATTTATTGTAGTCAATTTATCATTGGATCATCAAGCCTTAAACAACCAATAAGAAAAAAAGAGATGTTAAGAATGTTCTAAACTTTTAATCACGGTTAGCAGTTAGCTTGTTTTGAAAACTCGTTTTATCCGTGCTATTAGTTGATACTCTTACATTATCGTGGAGTTAAAGAGTCTAATAGCATGTTTGAGTGTCTTACGAGTGTCTCAGAAAAAATTCATTTAGCGGTCCACTAACTTCAAATGTCCTCAACTGCAGTTATTTGACATATGAGATTAACTATTGATGTATATTATTTTACTCTTTATTTCTTGATCTAAGAATATTTTTTAAGTTAATTATTTTATTCATAAGTATGTATTTAACATGTTTTTATTAAAAGTATAACATAATTCATTTTTTCTTAATTTATTGTATTTTACATAGTTTTAGCATAATAAATAATATACATACATATATATACATTGTATATTTCTTTTTCTTTTTTTAGGAGAGGTAATTTGAGATGAACTAAATTGATGAAAAAAATGTCCAAATTAATGTCACCAAACTTCACTTTTCTTATAAGTCTAAGTTTACTTGTGCAGCCCACTTGCGAACGTTGTAAATGAAAATTTTGAATCAAGTAAATTAAGCTGATACGAGAATCCAATTTAAGCTGAATTAAAGGCCAATAGAAATTAAGAATTAAATATAAATCAATGATGGATAACTTAAAATAGGAAAGAAGCACATTATTTCTCCACATTAGTCCCGAAATTTCTTTTCTCAACAATCTAATTTTGTAACTATTTATTTGAGAAACATTTGATTTTATCATAATTAATTTTATGTTTAATTTTTCTTGTTCAAACCCCTATATTGGTCTTATGACAACAACACACGATTATGATTTCCTAGTCTCGGGGTGATAATTGTTGTTTTGTCCGGTCCCCATTTTTCTTTTCCTACTCTCAGTTCTTCATTTAGTTTTTAGTTAGGTGAGTTCATTTATTGCTACTACACTTTTGGTTTGTTCTCTTTTATTTAATTTGCAATTTCTTTTGAATTTTCTAGTTTATATTGTTCTATTTACTTTATTTATTAAGTGCTCATTTTAATTTATGTTATTTAATTATTTATAATTTTTATTCCAAGATCTTGCGTAATTTTCATTTTTAATTTTCCAATTCCAATTCGCAATTTAGTTTTAGAGTTATTGCTTTCAAACATTTCAAAATTAATTATTGTACTATTTTAATTTAAAGCAATCATTGATTCTTACATTTTTTTATTAAAAACACTTTATTTTAATTTTATAAATTTTAGTTATTTAAATTATGCATCAATTTAATTTTAATTACTTGCATTAT